ACATAATCAAGGATAGATTTTAATTTAATTTTAAAATCAATTTAGATGATCAAATGTTTGTTTTCCTAAAGTGTTTACCAGTAAATCAAACTGAATTAATATTGATTGGGTTCTATTAACTTTCAAGGTTATATTGATTATCTATCATCAGTTTAAAGATCAAATTAATTAACATCGGTAATTTGGTAAACCAGGAAAAGGATATTTAATAACATGTTTACTATTTCAAGGTACGTGTATCAAGTTAATCGTTTAATTTAATCATCAAGATAATTAAATGAATTGTGTATTAAGATTGCGAGTGAAAGTCAATTGTTGTTATTGATTATGATTAATATCCAGGAAAAGGTAATTACTTTGAGTGTAGTTTCAATGTTTAAGTGTTGATCTAAATGCTATAAATGAAAGACTCAATTTGAACAAGTTAATTCATCTTAATTGTTGATAACAATCAAGAAACAAAATCTTAATTACAAGTATCCGTAAACACTTGAACATTCATAGTCTTAAATGTTTGATCAAAGTTCAATGAAAACTTCAATTGTTCATCTACCTTATTATCAGATTTGACTCTTTTCTTATTAATTACAATCAGTTAATTATCTCTCTCTCTCTCTCTTTAATTATCATGATTAATTTTCAATTCTAATTACAATAAACACCAGACAAAACATGATTCATCAGAATTTCATTCTTAGACCTGAGCTAAACACTTTCTCATCAGTTATCATTATTATTATTCTTGATTGTGACAATCAAGAAGCAAGAAAACAAAAAGTGAAAGTGATTAAATCAGTAACAATTTAGTTCTATCACTATCTAACTGATTTACGTGACAATTAAACCGTTAATCAGGATAAACAGAAATACAGAACGACGAGAAACAATTAAATTTGATTCTTACCTGTACAATGAAGGGAGCATTGATTTCCAGATTTGGTTATTGGTAATTTAGCTGTTAATTGTTAACCATTAATGATGATGATGAAAGATTAAGAAGAAAAAAAAAAGAAACATAATTAATAATGATGATTAGAAATTTAATTAAACGGAAACGCAATGATGAGAAACAATTAATTTTGATTATGATATGAAACACACATTGAAAAGAAAAACTTTTAATCAATAAATTAATTACTAGATGATTTGAATTAACGGTAAAATGATTAAATAAAACAATTAAACTTTTAAAAATGGAAACAAATTAAACAATTAAACTGATCATTTGGTTTGGTGCAAAAATAGTTTTTGAAAAGTTTTTTGTTTTGTTTTTGTTTAATTACATTAAATATGATCAACTAGTTTCCATTGTTAATTTAATTGATTATTTGACTAATTAACTTAATTACTAACCTGGTGTAACTGTTGTAACACAGTAAAAAGTGAATATAATTAATCCTAACCTGAGATCCATTTTGATCAAGATTCTCAGTGCTAATGATCAACTAATTGTCTTCGCAATTTATAGTCGCCTAAATATTTTCACCTTCGCAAAAGTTAAGAGATATTGAGATAATCGATCAATGGTAATAATTTCATCTTCTTATCATCATCTTTTCTTCCTCCTCCCTCTTCTTCATCTTCTTCATCTTCATCATCATCATCTTCTCTTTCAAATAATTTCACCTCCATCTCTCATTGCTTATCATCTTCTTCACATGTGTCTTAACATATTCTACTTTTCATCATCTCCATCATCTTAATCATCTTCATCACCAGTAACTTGAGCGAAAACATCTCTCATCTTCATCATCATCATCATTTCATCTTCCTCTTACATTTGAATTCATCTCAAGTTTTGAAAGGGTCGTTCATCGATCTAACAAGAGTTGATTACAGAGTGTTGAGAGGATAAGAACGATAACAAGTTAATCAGTGTATTACAATTAAACGTAAGAATCATGATTAACTTTACATTTCATTTTGACCATTTCATTAAACTAATCAGACATTTCAATCATCTTAGAGTTGATTAGAACTCATGTAATAATTATAATGTGATTGCAATCAACAATCAATACCTGTTGATATATTACAATAATGGAAACTATTAATTGTCAATAACTACTAATTGAGTAATAATTAATGTCCATTTTTTTGATTATCGAATCTTTGATTGTAATTTTCTAATTCTTTTATCATTAACTGTTTTTATTGATTGTTGATCTTTTTTTTCTGTTTCATTTTCATATCAAAGTTAATTCACTTTTGGAACTATTCAAATATTCAAATGATTAATATTATCAATTAATATCTTGGATGAAGTGGTTGATATATTAAACTGATAATCGACGTTGATTGTTATGTAATTTGATTTTACATCTTATACAAAGATCTCGATTAACAAGGTTGTATAAACTGGATTAATTTCTAACTCTCTGATTGATTGACCAAATCTCGGGTTAATTGTTTACTATTAAGACCATGGTTAATGAAAGTGTGACGGAATTGAAACAATCAATCACCCGAAGAGCGAGAAAAGTTGAATCTATTGGTAAAAAAGCTCAAAAGGAATTGAAATCTCAAGGGAAATTATTAAACTCAACGAACACGAATCTAAATGAAACTGGACTGACACTCAATCAAATTGAAATGGATTTAATTGCAATTGAACAATATGAAAGTAATTTATGGTCTCGAATATTTTGTTGCTATTGTTGTGTCAACGCTAATAGAAGTGTCATAAATCACGAAGATCGATCGGTATCAAGTCAACAAATCGTCGAAACATTTACCGTTGAAGATCGTCTAACTCCCCATGAAGTTGACAAACTTTGGTGTCAAACTTATGATCCAAATGAACGTTGGTATCAACAAATGGAATCTCATGTCGATAGATTGATTGAATTAATTGAATCATTGGATCATGACATTGGTCAGCAAAAGGTCAAGCGATCTCATTAAAAGGCAAAGTTAAATCGTTTGATATTAAATTGAAAAACAATCGGAAAACCATGAAACGAATGAGTAAAAATAAATAATAGTCGAACTGGTTTAATCTTAATCGTCTTATTTTAATCAAGCAAATATCAATTACAATATGATTGTCATAAATCACGATTAGTTTTAGTTACCAATCATCAACATCTTAACTACTCTATTTACTTTAATTATTATTATTGCGATTGACAAACAAATACAATCAACAATTTTGTTTACTGATTAACGAAACTGTTTACAGATTAAAATATAATAATAGTAACCATGATCACGATGATTACTAACCAATTTAATCTTTGACTATTCTTGACACTTTGTCTCCTCTTTATCAATCTAATGGTTAATTGTTGATCAAATTAGTTAACTATTTAGGTTGATCATTTCTCTGTTTGATTCCTTCCGGTTAAGTTAACTGTAATTCCTTTCACAATCAATGTTTCCAATACAAATTACGAGAGAAACTAAAATAATAATCTTCAATTTTAATTAACCCCTTTTAATGAGTTAATCTTATTAATAAATTATTAGTATTTGGTTTGATTGATTAACACACTCGATACAATTGAAATTGTTAATCAAAGTTAATCATCTCACAATTTGACTTGTAAAAGCCCTTGGAGAAAATTTCCCATAAATTGCTCTCAAGTTTTTGCTTCAACAATTATCTTAATCATAATCTTGTTAATTTAGTTATCTAATTAGAAAGAAATGAATTAAAGATGAGAGTCCGAGAGAAATCAATCAAATCATTTGATCATCATAACGATGATACTTTAACTAAATTGGTGTTCACAATAACAGATTTACGCACAATTAAGTTAATCAGTTAATTTAGTATCTTTACTAATTAGATTTTTTCTCTCTCTCTTCTTAATTGTGATGCAAGTAAATCAATCACAGTTTGATTGACATTATCTACTAATCATAAATCACGGACTCGATGAATACTTGGACTCACCTAATCCAACTTTCGTCATTAACTTTCCTTAATCCGGTTGTTTAATTTTCTCCAATAAATGTTAATTACCTTTCTAATTGGTACTTAATCTATGTACAATTAACTTGTATCATCAATTTAAGGTCAATTAATGTTAATTTCAAACAATTATAAATCTTAAGTTGTGAGAGCAACAAAAAAAATTTAATCTTCAAGAGGCTTTTACATTAAATCAATTGATTACTCGTTGGTGTTAATCTATCAGTTAATTAATTTAATCGATTACATCAATTAATTAGTATAAACTTTATGTACTTGTATTTTGTTAATTGTCAAATGTTAATATCCTAGTTGATCATGTTAACATAATCACTTGTTAATTACATTTGTTCATTAAGAAAAATGATTCTACAATTGATTAAATTGCAACGATTTCGTTTCTCACAATTTACTCTTTTTTTTCCTCATTTCCTTTGATGACAATTAGGTAACAATGAACGTTAATTATGATTAAATGACAAACTAAACACAATTTATAATGATTAAGGTCAATGAACGATTATCGTACAATCTGAAATCTACCGATGATTATTGATCTAATTGTAAATTGTTCCGCAATTGATACTCAAAAAAAAAAGTCACAACGATTTCTTTTTACAAATTTAATGTTCTTAATCAAATAGATAATATTATGAATTTAATCAGTTGATTTTCTTGTTGTTCAATATCATGAGTTTCATGATTAATCATTGAAAGATGGACGATTAATAGACAATCAATTTTAATTGTCGGTAACAGTTGAAATCAATATATCGGTTAATTGTCATCAAATGATGATGAGTATATAAAAAAGGACCAGAGATACAAAAAGAGGCAACAATTTAATCAAGTTAAATTGTTAATCAAGTGTTAACGCTAATTAATATTATCATGTGATTGTCAATGGTTTGTTAAATTGTATTAATATTTTGGTGATTAAAACAATTTGATTTAAATAAAGTTTGAAGATAAGTGTTATCCAAAATAGCAAATGATTGTTGATGATTAAATTGTATTTATAACAACAATTAAGTAGCATTAATTAAAGATGATCTTAAAAAACAATCAATTTGGCCTCACAATCTTTGTTGTTCAATGATCCTCTTTTTAATTATCATTAAATCAATAGTTGATTACAGAACAGAATTGTGATCAAGTTACCAATTTCTAGAATTATCTTCATCTTAATCAATATTTCGTTTTGTTTTAATACAACAATTAATCATCTTCGATTGGATCAATAAGATAAGGAAGTTGTTGAAATGTTTTAAGAAAACAATTTCTCATGAAATCGAACCCTTGACAGATTCGTTGATTAGTTTGAGATGCAAGTTCAGGCCAATCGTGTTCGATACGTTGATCGGGCCTATTGTAGAACCAAATTTCTCTATTCTTCCTTTGACAATATCGATTAACAATATCTTTCGATTTTTCCGATAATCTGGTTGACTGGCGAAGATCAAGAATAACAATTTCGGGTATAAGGTCAAGTAATTCCGTCAAATTAGAATCATCAAGCCCATAATCGCCTCTAATTGCGAGATTTTTCAATTTCGGATACTTGATTAACAAGTTTCGCAAATCAGTCCAATTATCTGATACATAATTTTCCGGCTGCAATCAGAAAAAAAGTTAAATTGTTGACACTGATCTTAAACAATTAGCTGGTAACTTACATGATCCAGAACTAAATTTCTCAGTGAATTATTTTTGATTGTTTGGTTGATCGATAGTTTTTTCGGCTTGATTAAATGATGAGCACTTTCAACGGATGGACATAAATCCATGAAATGAAATCCAGGATAAGGATTAGTGGCATCATATGAATATAAACAAGCCTCCAAAATTTTTATACTCTCCAATACTGGTCCATCATATGAACTAATTGAAACTTTGATTGGAACCATTAGAACTTTTCGAATAATTTGATATTAAATTAATTCTGTTACTTACAATTGCGACTTCCAATATGAAGTCTTTGGAGATTTTTCAAATAACCAGAATTTGCAATCTCCTCGAAATGATTCTGGAAACAATCAGCGAAATAAAGTTGCTCGAGATTCATGGTCAGTACTCTTGATATCGAACATGGGAATTTATCCCAACATGGTTCATATATTAATCCTTTCACTGATTTAATGCCTTCAATTACTTTGAATATGTCAATAGATTTAAATTTAGTTTCGTTTGTGGGACGAATGTCAAGAATCTGAAATGAAATCGAGACAATTAACAAATTTTAATCGGTGACCCTTTGATTGTGAACTTTATCAAACCCGAAACTGACCTTAAATCTGGGCAATAGTCCTAACAATTGACTTTGACTCAGTGAATCAAGTTTATTGAAGTACAGTCAAACCATTTAGGTTGAACCAAGTTTCTATTTAGCTCAGAATATTTTCTATTTAGTTTGAACTTGCCATCGGCTAATCCATCGGGTTAATCCGTTTTCTCTAGAAAGGTTGAAATTTTCTCTATTTCCTCGAGAAGATTTTCTATTTAGTTTGAACATTTTATTTAATTATTTATTATTTCTCCTTCGAGACTTTTTCCAATATAAATCATCATGTTCTCGTAATAATTTATACAATCGTTTTTAACGACCATTTCACTTGCTAGATCAACTCCATGAAAAACATCATCAGGTGTATTTGGATTGAATCTTTTGACATAATACTTGAGCTGGTTAAACATATTCTCTATTGGGTTGAGAAAAGGTGAATAAGCAGGAAGAAAGATTAGATTATGACCTTTTCCTTCAATTGTATCTTTGACTCCCGTAGAATGATGAAATGGGACATTTTCCATGATTATGTAGGCCTCTTTGATATCATCTCTTTCTAAAAAGCGCAGGAATTGATTGAGAAAGGTTACAAAATGTTCTGTGTCATAACCCTTTTCTTTAGCCTCATAAAAGTAAAGACTACGATAATTAATAGCCGCACAAATTGAGAAATGTTTTCCTCTGACTGCACGAGTCTTGACGTTAGCACGTTCACCAATACGACTCCATCCATAATTAACCCGCGCGTGAACGGCGATGCCTGTTTCGTCGAGAAAAAAAAATTTTTCTCGGTGTCTTTGAATTGTCATAAAGTTTCGAGCATATTCTTTTCTCGCAGCGATTCTTGTTGGGTCATTTCGAGCAACGGGAACAACTGAAATTCGTTTGAAGCTAAAGTTGAGTTTGTTTAAATAATTTCGAATCGTTTCGATACAAATTTCAATTCCAAAGTTTTCTTTAACTTTATCCTTTGCATCATCCAAAGTGATTAAACAATTTTCATCGAACCAAGAATTCAAAACTTTCACTTGTTCACTTGATAACTTCTTTGGTTTAATTCCTGGTGGTTTTTTGATTACACCACTTTGTTTGTATCTTCGGATAAAAGTATTAATTGAGTTCACAACCATGGTTATGAACAGAATGAGAAATCAGAAGGAAATGTTCAAACTAAATAGAAAATCTTCTCGAGGGAATAGAGAAAATTTCAACCTTTCTAGAGAAAACGGATTAACCCGATGGATAGCCGATGGCAAGTTCAAACTAAATAGAAAATATTCTGAGCTAATAGAAACTTGGTTCAACCTAAATGGTTTGACTGTAAATTGAATTCTTGAAACAGCCAATACTACTGTCGTCTAATTAGTATTAAGATAATTAAGTTAATTGTTGAACCAATTCATTACGATTAATATACTTACCACTTAAATATTTCACCTTATTCAATCTCTGAACAATTCGGACCCTCCAGCGTTGACAAACTATCAAATTATCAAAATGAATTGAAAATTAAATTCAGTTAACAGCAAAAATGATTTGCGATGCGATTTAAATGAACCGCTGATTAATTTTCAGATTATTTTGAAATGAAAATCTACTTCCGTAAAAATGTGAATGAGAGACAATTAAAATTGAGATTATCAATTGCTTACCTTTTGAACAAACAATTAAATCATCTAGATTTGTAATAGATTCAAAAATGGAGGATAAACAATCATCAGGTAGTTTTTCAATGTGAAACATTTCATCAATTTGTTGATCTTTTAGAGTAACATCAACTAATAAACGAAGAGATAAAAAGAGAATAGTGAAAACGAATCAAAAAATTGCCAAAAAAATCACTTCAACTGCCAATACTTGACAATACTTACTCGATTGATTGTTGTTACTTTTTTTTTACTTCATCTTATTTGTCAATATTATCAATTTGAGTGATCAAAATCAAGGCCTGATATTAAAAGAATCGATTGGTTAATGATGACCGGAAAAAATCAACTTCCCAATCATAGCCCTTCGGCTCCTGATTATGATTATTTGATTAAATTTTGTCTCTTGGTGATTCGGGAGTGGTAAGACAAGTTTCCTTTACCAATATACTGATGGTTCATTTGATGGTAAATTTATATCAACCGTTGGAATTGATTTCAGGAGAAAAGAGTTGTAAGTTAATTGCTTGTTTTAATCATAGTTACGATTGTTTTCTTAACCAATGTAACATTAGTTAATCAATTGTTTCATTTTCTTAATCAGGTTTATAAGCCACAAAATTTAGACGGAGTTTCAAGGAGAAGTCAACGGATTCACCTTCAACTATGGGACACTGCAGGTCAAGAAAGGTTTGTAATGAAAGGAAAACAATTAACTTGATAAAATTTTGATTCTAATTGTGAAAAATTTACTATCAATCAACAGATTTCGTAGTTTAACAACGGCTTTTTTTCGTGATGCAATGGGCTTCATTTTGATCTTCGATATAACAAGTGAACAATCATTTATCAATATTCGTGGTTGGTTAGATCAATTAAAGACTCATGCTTATTGTAACGATCGATGTAATACTTTGTGGTAATAAGGTTGATCTATTTGAGAAACGAGTTGTTTCCGAGGAACGAGCTAAACAAGAGGCACAAAAATATGGGTGAGCAATTAAGTCTCAACAATTAAAACTAATCACTTTCAATAGAAACTTTTTCATTGAATAAATAGTGATCATTTGTATTCACATTAACTGTTATTTTATGACAAATGGAAAACAGTAAACCCTTTCTGTTCTGATGATTCTTTCGTGTATCGAATCGGCTGGTCCTTTAATTTCTTCCGTTTTTTATTCTAAAATTTTCAATGCAACTATTGAGAACTCTCCAGGTACTGTTTACATTGCTGCTGGTTTTGTTGTCGTCTTTCCTGCCTCTGTAATGATTTGGCTATATTACACTCGAAATACTTGGGATCTTGTACTTCGTGCAGAGGCCGAGGCCAAAGCCACAAAAGAACCACAAGACTCCACTTGTCAGTCAAAATCTGAGTCTTCTGATAGTGACGATTATCACAACAAATCGACTCCAAGAGTGCAAAGCAGAGTAATTTATCAGAGCCAAGAGAATATCGTTACAGTCCATTCCGATCATGTTGAAAAATTTCCTGATCAAGACTCGATTAATTCGGACGAAGACGATGTTTCTAAACTCGAATCAACTTCAACTGATATTGTTCTTGGAACGGTTGAAATTGTTATTGAGAAGACTAATCAATGAAGTAATTGATTTCATGACATGAGAAACTGAGCCACTACTTAATTGTTAAACTGTTAGCAAATCTCATATTGTTTTTGGTGCAAAATTGTAAGATTTTTATCACTTTGTAAACCAGACGCTCGTTTTAATCGAGTAGTTGACACGGATTTGAAGTTAAACAATTATATCATGTAAAGTATTGGAAATTTAATGATAGAAATTAGTATAGAACATGTAAATTGTCAAATTCCATCGTAAAAATAAAGCTCATTTTTATATTCGATTCCTTTCGGTAAGTCACAAGCCTGTACATTTGCTGTTTTCTCGACAGTTATTAGTTAATATCTTTACCACTCAATCTTGTCTAATCACTTTGTTTAAGTCTCACAATCAAAGAGTAATCAATCAACTCTTTGATTTAGATTATGATTTTGGTGAATTATATCCTTAAACTCAATAACGAATTTGTTCATTGAAGTTATTCTTCTTATTCTCACCATCGAAGCTTTTACGCTCATGGAATAACATGGTGAAGATTATAATCAACAACTGATGGAATAAAAAGTGAAAAATTCTTTAGAACTTGAGATAAAATCCAGAACTTCATGAGGTAACCAAAATATAATACAATGTACTTACAATTATCATTGTCAACAAAACGATACCGAAACAAGCTTTAGGAAAGTCGAAATGTTCAACAAGATAACCTCCAATTATGGGTCCAAGGGCAGTTCTGATAATCATATATTACGATGAAACTTTTAGTTAAAATTCACTTTGCAAAAGTAAATTAGTTTCAATTTCTTACCCAAGGCATAAGCAGAAACAAAAGACTACTTATCATTGAACCAGCACCAACATCGTCTTTTAAATCAGATAAACTTGAAAGATCAAAAGAACAATTTGTTATTGATAAATTGGAACATTAGATTACCAATTATCATACTCTTTTTCCCTCATTGCTTGCGTAAAGTTGGAAACGAAACAAAAGGCCAAGCCCATTCCATAAACGATCTGAGAGAATACAACCAGTACAATACTCCTGTAGAAAAGTTTCATTCCATTTAGAATTAGGTTAAACTTGATCTTTAAACTGTCAAACATACGGTTTAATTGGCAAAGGTAAATAGGACCAACCAGAATGAACCCTAATATGATAAGTGAAGAACCGACGATATTCATGAAAGTGACATCTTTATATCTCGACATGAACAGACCAACGATCCAGGTAAAAATACCATAAAATAGACCAGATAATAAGAAAATTGATCCAACTGCTGATGATCGCAGATTAGCAAACTGTTAAGATGAGACGCAAATAATAGAATGTCCCAATATATGATAACGAACTCAATGTCGAAAATTCTTACGCTTCTAATATGTGGCTCCAACATGGATTGATTGAACCCAAAGACGATGCAAAGTACAATAGTTATGAGGATCTGTAATGTTATCCTCCAATTGGATAAAACTTTGAATATTCCAGCACTTTTCTCATTTCTGGTCAATTCTGAATGAAAGATGAAAGAAAATCATCAATTAAACAAACTTAATCAAATTCAAAGTTAGAGATTCAAGATCTTGACTCATCGTGAAGGTTCATGAATATAAAGATAATTAGTAGTCTCTCTTTTTCTCTCTAATCATTAACAGTTTGAAAAGCAAGCAGGAATAGTTAATATTCAAGTTATCAATCGATGAGAGTCTTATATCAATCAAGGATGTGAAAGAAGAAAACAAAATAAAAAATAATCAACAAATCAACAGAAATTTCCCTTTGATTTATAATTATGTTTTTTTCCATCATCGTCACTTGCTATTGTTATTTTTTTCTAATAAATGTCTAATCAGATGATGAGATTTGCTTGATATTAAAATTAATGAAGAGTTTGAATGTGATTCAACAACCGTTATTGATTGAAATTCAATTGGTTAATCAGATAATCCATAATTGAACTCACTTGCTTTTCTCGGGAAGAGGACGAATAGTACTGGAAATGTAAGGGAAAGAAGAGCACCACAGACGAAAAAGGGCAAATCAAAGCCCCCAACCTAACAGAAAGAAAAAATATGTCAGAGACAAAAGATTCATTAGTCAATTATAATTAAATCAAAGATTGCTGATCGATTTGTTTTAGAACCAGACCTCATAAAGGAAACCACCAAGCAGAGGGCCAACGATCATACCAACACCATAACACATCTCAATCAAACCCTATGGAGGAAAAGAGATTGATTTAAAGTGAAAATTATCAGTACCAATGTCCAAAGTCATTTAGAGGATTAGCTTACAAATACTTGAGAGATGTGATTTGGATAATAGACCGGGATTGCGGCATAACACGTTGCTGAGACTGCTGCTAATCCTATTGATCCAAATGATCGGATTAAGGCACAAAAGGTGGTGAATAGTGTCCCATTTGGAGCCCATTTTAATGCTCTGAAAAACAGATGAAACAATTGAAACAAATTAATTGTTAAAAGAAGACTAATATTTATCTTACCCAAACAAGATTATTCCAGTTGATCCAACAAAGATACCAGTTAAAATTGTCAATCTAAATCCAAGTTTAGGTAACTGGATAGAAAAGTGTAAAAACGAATGAGAGTCAAATCATTTGTGAGCCTTGACAAATTAACAAACAACTTTTAACAATAAATGCTACTAATCAATTGATGGTACACAAATTAAGAAATTATTAGCTGATTGTGATTAGTAAAGGGAAAATTGACTAAAAATCAAATGGAAATTAGGAAACATTGTAACCACAGTAACGAATGAGAAAATGAGCATTTTTCTTTAAATTTCAATCTGTAAGTGATTTAGATATAACTACAGTTAGAATTGAATTTTCTTCCTCGTTTCTATCAATCAAATTATGATTGAGTGATATTGGTTTATGCTAATTTTTCAACGATTAATAGACGAATAGGTTGTTGTGGTTTTCCACTTGTAACTCACTTAAATTTATTGACAATTAAGAAAAGAATGAAGTTATTATTTAAGTTGATTAGGTCATAATCATCCGATTAATATCACTTCGTTGATTATCATCACCAATATCACCATCGTCATCATCTTCCTTTCGAGTCTGGTGTTAATTTGTTTGATAAAAATCAATGACATTTACGGATAACAACATGGAGAGTCAATCAATGTGCTCACTGTGTGTTTATTATGTTATTAATTGAATTGATTCTTGTTCAAGTTGCTCATAACTAATTGATAACTAATTGATTTATTAGTAATTAATATTTAGACAAAGACAAGTACTCAGGAAAGAAAAAAACTTTTAAAGCAAATTATTGACAACAAAATAGAAATCAAGGTAAATTTAATCTGATTTTCTTTGGTAAGATTGTTAAATGTTGATTAATTTGTCGACTGATGAATCAAAATAAACACATTAATTATATTTCATTGGTACACCAGGTAATGATTGTTGGCAAAGAAATATAACAACATCTCGTCTCCTTGTAAGAGACGAGATGGAGATAAAATAGAGATGAAGATGAGGATGAATATGAAGATGAGGATGAAGATGAGAATGAAGATGAAAATGAAGGTGAAATAAAATAATTAAAGTTTCTTTATTAATTACTTTTCATCATCAAAGCAAAAAAGAAAAAGTTACTTAACTTCAAGATACAACTCATTTCTTTTCTCTTGTTGAAATCTAATTCTATCAAAGATATGGTTCCAAAAAATGAATCACTCGGAATGAAAATATATCCCATTTATGGTCAACTTACAAATTTTCCATAGACTGGACACAAGATGAAGGCAATCACTTCCTGGATGGAGAAAAGAAAACCATAGGTCGATGGAGATAGTCCTTTAGATTCAGCCTGTTGATTAGAAAGAAATCAATCAATGATGATTTATTTTATTATCACTTATCGGTTTAGTGAAACGTTGATGAACTTTAATTAATTTTTCTACACGATACAAAGACCAAGATCATTTAATTACCTCTTTCGGAAAGAAAGGTGACAAAACACAATAAGCTGCTCCGGTTATGATGTTTATGTAAGCAAATACAGAGATGAGTAGATAATCACGACGTGACAATTTAATTGGTCCGGTTTGACTGATTGTCGACAATTGTGGTTTAACTGATTTACTCCAATTGGATGAAGAGTCATGATTATCCAGAGGAACCGTTGAAGATGATGAAATGTTGATTGTTGATGTAATTACTGTCGAAGTTTCAATTAATTGGGTTAAATTTCGCTTTTGCAACTTTTTCCCACACATTTTCTAATAGTTTAGATCGGTTAACTTTTCTTATGGGTAAATGATACTGTTAATTATATTATTGATTGATTTTTCACTCGATTGATTAGATTTTTGGTAAAGAAATCGTAATAAGGTGTCATTAATCATGCTGATGAAAACGGACTCAAAGAATTAATCTTCTATCATCTTCTATTTATTGACATGAGAGAAGCCTTTTTTTCTCGGCTCCCATTCTCCCTCCTCATTGAGATCTTCATCTCTAGATGAACTATCTTTCAGCTATCATGATTAGTGAGGGAATCAATAGTTGATTACAGAACAGAATTGTGATCAAGTTACCAATTTCTAGAATTATCTTCATCTTAATCAACATTTCGTTTTGTTTTAATACAACAATTAATCATCTTCGATTGGATCAATAAGATAAGGAAGTTGTTGAAATGTTTTGAGAAAACAATTTCTCATGAAATCGAACCCTTGACAGATTCGTTGATTAGTTTGAGATGCAAGTTCAGGCCAATCGTGTTCGATACGTTGATCGGGCCTATTGTAGAACCAAATTTCTCTATTCTTCCTTTGACAATATCGATTAACAATATCTTTCGATTTTTCCGATAATCTGGTTGACTGGCGAAGATCAAGAATAACAATTTCGGGTATAAGGTCAAGTAATTCCGTCAAATTAGAATCATCAAGCCCATAATCGCCTCTAATTGCGAGATTTTTCAATTTCGGATACTTGATTAACAAGTTTCGCAAATCAGTCCAATTATCTGATACATAATTTTCCGGCTGCAATCAGAAAAAAAGTTAAATTGTTGACACTGATCTTAAACAATTAGCTGGTAACTTACATGATCCAGAACTAAATTTCTCAGTGAATTATTTTTGATTGTTTGGTTGATCGATAGTTTTTTCGGCTTGATTAAATGATGAGCACTTTCAACGGATGGACATAAATCCATGAAATGAAATCCAGGATAAGGATTAGTGGCATCATATGAATATAAACAAGCCTCCAAAATTTTTATACTCTCCAATACTGGTCCATCATATGAACTAATTGAAACTTTGATTGGAACCATTAGAACTTTTCGAATAATTTGATATTAAATTAATTCTGTTACTTACAATTGCGACTTCCAATATGAAGTCTTTGGAGATTTTTCAAATAACCAGAATTTGCAATCTCCTCGAAATGATTCTGGAAACAATCAGCGAAATAAAGTTGCTTCAATTTTAATTGATTCTGATTACAATCAATAAACGAAGGCTCAAATAGATTGGTAGCAATCATCTCGAGATTCATGGTCAGTACTTGATATCGAACATGGAATTTATCCCAACATGGTTCATATATTAATCCTTTCACTGATTTAATGCCTTCAATTACTTTGAATATGTCAATCGATTTAAATTTAGTTTCGTTTGTGGGACGAATGTCAAGAATCTGAAATGAAATCGAGACAATTAACAAATTTTAATCGGTGGCCTATTGATTGTGAACTTTATCAAACCCGAAACTGACCTTAAATCTGGGTAATAGTCCTAACAATTGACTTTGACTCAGTGAATCAAGTTTATTGAAGTAAATTGAATTCTTGAAACAGCCAATACTACTGTCGTCTAATTAGTATTAAGATAATTAAGTTAATTGTTGAACCAATTCATTACGATTAATATACTTACCACTTAAATATTTCACCTTATTCAATCTCTGAACAATCAGGAACCTCCAGCGTTGACAAACTATCAAATTATCAAAATGAATTGAAAATTAAATTCAGTTAACAGCAGAAATGATTTGCGATGAGATTTAAATGAACCGCTGATTAATTTTCAGATTATTTTGAAATGAAAATCTACTTCCGTAAAAATGTGAATGAGAGACAATTAAAATTGAGATTATCAATTGCTTACCTTTTGAACAAACAATTAAATCATCTAGATTTGTAATAGATTCAAAAATGGAGGATAAACAATCATCAGGTAGTTTTTCAATGTGAAACATTTGACCAATTTGTTGATCTTTTAGAGTAAAATATCAAATTGATTTTTTGGATAAACAATTTGAATCACAATCAACAATACATGATTAGGATTAGGATTAGGATTACGCCTGCGTTGCTTAGGTCATTAAGCTTAATTTAATTACTCAACAAGGTTTGAATCACATCACCGAAATAGTTTAATCATCATGAAGATTCTGATCATGAAATGAGTTGAGAAAAACAGAGAAAAGTGATTAAGTTTTAATCATTTAATTTTCGAGAGATTTAAACGTTTTACAATTAGAGTCATTAAATTGTTGGGTAAAGAAAATTAATTAGTGAAAGTAAATCTAAACAACAATTAATTTGTAATAGAAATGATCACATTGATTGTTACTTTTCATAGTGTTCAATTTAGTAATATGATTAAGCCAAAGAAACGAGCAGTTTAAATCAACAGTAACAATTTAAATCTAAATTTAACAATTGAGAAACAAATTGGTAGAAATGATTTTTTAATTAGTTAATCAAATTCTTTCCCAGTCATTAAATTACAAGGATTGTTGTTGTAAATTCAGTTTAGTAATTAAAGTTTACAATCGTTTTTAAAAAATAATCGTTTCCAATTAACTTTTGATGGTAACAATTTAAAGGGAAACAATTTGTTGCAATTAAAATTGTTTTTCTCATCTAATGTTGTTAAGTGGTAACTATTTATTTTTAATTTTCTTTTCATTCAAATTTCTAACGGAAGATAATCAATGTTATTGTTTTACTATGATTGTTATTAAATCAGCATAATTTATTAAATATGTTCTATTGGGTAAATATTAATAGTAAGAAATTAAAATGTAAATTATTATTTAAAGTGTCAGATTTGTATAAGAGTAATAAGATTAAACTGATAAGGCCACTCAAATATTGGTGATAAGTCACTGGAAACGGTTTTTGATTTGATTGTTGATAAGTTAAAGGTCGGTGTCGTACCAAGCGGAGTATTGGTCATTATTGGCGACTTGGTCCTGTTCGTTGTAATATGGTGATGAATAGGGATTGTTAACATCCATATCTGATGTGGTTTGGACGTAAATTGATTGTGGATAAGGATTGAGGGGAGAGGCGAGTGATCCGTAGTGAGATTCAGCTTGTGGTAAGACCTCGTTTTCCACTTCACCGGCTGAAGTCCAATCATTGGGTTCGTCACGGAAAAGGGTTGCTGTCAGTTCCAATGATAAACGCTTCTTGTAATCCTGAGGTTTGTCTTCGGACATTCGATACAAAACAGCGGCGGCGAAAGTGGCTGTCACTTCATTTCTAGAATGGAGAAGTTCAGTAAGAGCTGCAGTAGCTCCTTCAGATTCAATAATGTCAACGGCTTTTTTTTCGAGGGACAGTTCACTGAGAACACCAACAGCAGATTGTTGAACGTTCTCATCGTCACAATATAAAAGTTGCACGAATGTTGAGATTAAGTTCATTTCTGTGATAATGGATCGATTATGAACATCTCGAGCTAACATCTTGAATGAATACATCGTTCCTCGATGATATCGGCGATTTTAACACCATCCATGTATCCTGAAGATGAGTTTCTCTTGTTGAGCTTTGGATAAAATTTGATTCAACTTGGGAATAACTCCAGCTTCTCGTAATGGCGCTTGGTTGGCTGGACATTGAGCCAGATTGTGAATTAATCCCACAATTCCTTGATAAGTGACCAACTGATCGGTAGATTCAAGAAATTTACAATATAATTCAAACCATCATGAAGACGGACATCATTCTGGGCTATTTCTGCTTCCTCATGCTGATGTGTCAGGTGTTTGAGAACACAAATTGCTGGTTCAACGATCTCTTGTCTATCTCCAGCTTGTTTGATGGTTGTAACAATTTTTTCAATTGCATCTAGTTGACATAAGAATAGTTTGTTTTGGGTATTGTTGCAGGTCAAATTGGATAGAATAGCGACCGAACAAACAACAACGTTAAGATCTTCGCTTTTGAGTAAATTGAGTAGAACTTGGAGAAGATGATCGATATTGAGAATATCGGTGGCAGAATCAGATAAATTCCTCAAAGCCCAAAGGCAACTTAATTGTAATCTTCCGGGTTGTTCCAAGTGCATATCCAAAGCGTAGATTCCTCCGGCTTGGATGATCGCGAGTTTGTTACTTTGACATACGGACAAAACTTTGAGTAGTCGAGATGTTGTCCAAAGTAATTTCTCATAGTTATGGACAAGCATAATGTTCACAATCTCTGGAACACCGCCTGAGGCGAGAATAATCAACTTAGACTCTTGATTTCCATAAGCAAGTAAAGTTAAACATTCGGTCAAAAGAGCGAGGAATTTAGGATTGGGATGATTCAACAATGTGACCATCTTTTGGATCCCTCCGGCGAGTCGAACGGCCATTTTTGATCCTTCTTGATGAAGCAACAGGTTGTAGATCGTTGTCAAGGAATAGTAAACAACTCGGTTGATTGGAGAGGTGAGAAGCTTAATTAAGGCAGAGATTCCATCGGACTTGAAAATCGCTAGAAGACCTTGTTGATGTTGAGATAAATTATGTAAAATACTCGCAGCACAAGTGGTTGTTTCAGCTTCGGCATTTGACATCGCCCTAAGAAGAGCGGACACCATTTGAGGAGAATTGATGAGTGCGTGTCGGGAAGCGACTTTTCGAGAAAGATGGTGAACCATTAATGTCGCTTTGTTAACCACCACTTCATCTTCATCATTTAATAGCTTCAACAGCTCAGGAACAGCACTTGTTGCCAAATCAGCGTCATTCTGGTAATTAATCAAAGCTTCAATCGCCAATTTAATCATTTGTGCAGGTTCAGAGAGTCTAAGGACACATGTTTCTGATTTATTGTCGATCGATGTTGTGTATAAAATGTCACTTGATAAATCATCGAATAGAGCAGCTCTAATACGCTCAGATCTATTTAATTCCAATGAAGTCATACTGATGAACAATTAATTGTATTGTCAGAACAACAAAGTAAAAAAATTGACATAAAAAAATGAAACTTTCTCAAAGAAAAACAAAGTGGCGATCCATCAAAACAATCGATTATCATCGATTCAAGTGACTGAAACGAATAATCGATTTTTCGATTTCTTTCTTTTTTTCGCTCCTGATAAATTTAAATTTAATCAATATTACCTGTGGATTTTAAATTAAAATTTTGTGTTATTATTTTTCATCTTATTACACGGATCAAGTCGATACCAAAATTATGATAGATCAACAGTTACTTTAGTTGTTTTCTTTGTTACCCTTAAAACTGAGCTATTATTGCGTCGTAATAACTTTAACCATTTTGTTTATTGGTAAGTTTTTGTTAATTTGATGTAACTTAATTTCTCTATCTCAAACTTATTTTTTTGAAAAGATTGAAATTGTAATTTTATTTTTATTTTATTCTTTTCTTTATGACAAACCTAATGAGTTAAACTATCCTTGGAACTGATTTTCCCTTCAATCAAATGGCTCTTTCTCTGATGTGACAATGATATAAATTTTTTCGGATTATAATTAACTGGATATTAAAAAGAAGGATTTAAATTTTTTCACCAATAATTTCTCTCTCCAACCTCAACCCTATCATTGTAAGGAAATTGTAAATTTCCTAGAATCAATCAAAGATGTAATCAACGGTTAAAAAACCGCCGCTGATCCCTGAGATTTCATCTCAATCAGCCCTCTAACAAAAATGTTAGTTGACACACTGCAAAAGCAGTAAGAGGAAGCTCCCTTTCTCTCCTAAATAAATTTCTCTTTCAATCAAAAATCGATAACAGTTTTTGTAAAATTGATAATCGTTTTATTAAAATGATAAAAATCAGAAACTATTAATACAAATGAGTCATCCAATCAACCGAATGACTAAATTGGCTTGAGGCGCTTTCTTAAAGTTTCAGTTTATTTCAAGTCTCACTTTTTTCATTGAGTTTTCATTGATTCTTTCTAATTACATTTCTTTTCATTATCTAATTGTAATCAACTTATTACCAGATTAATATCTCTGATTACAGTTGATTGAACATCGGACGATGAAGTTCATTTGGTGAACAGAATTATGAAGATTCTGATCATGAAAGGAGTTGAGAAAAAAAGAGAAAAGCGAAATAATCGTAAAGAGAAAAGTGATCAAGTTTTAATCATTTAATTTTCGAGAGATTTTAAATGTTTTACAATTACAACGATCTTTTATTTTCTCAATCATTAGAGTCATTAAATTGTTTGATAAAGAAAATTAATTAGTGGAAATAAATCTAAACAACAATTAACTTGCAAGAGAAATGATCACAACTATTGATAAGTAATTGTTACTTTTCATCGTTATTCAATTTAAAGATTTAATTGTCAAATAATATTATGATTAAACCAAAGAAACGAAAATTAGAATGAAAAATCAATTTTTATGATTAGTTAATTGTTCAAACTTATCTGTCATTCTTTATCCGTGTTAATTACACTCCGTTTCCCACTGGTTTAGATTCAGTCCAATTGTTGATTGATCAATTAAGAAATGAGATAAAAAACAATCATCAATGCGATTAATTTATAACAAAGTTAAAGACAACAATTAAGAATCGAGTGATTCGAGATGATTTAATTGTTTCGAAATTTTTCTTATCAAAAAGTTCTAATTCTCGAATTTTATTACAATTCGATTCATTGATATTCTTGGATTGGACCATTGGATTTGGATAGAAACATTGGAACTCATCTTGAAAATGTTAGAATTTGGATTGGAACAATTAGTTAATTGTTGACTTGGATACTCACATGAAAGGTGAATTGAAATTACTTCCAATTACTCTGCCTTGTTTTAAGTATCTCATTAAATTGAAAATGCCATTGAGATCATCGTTTCGATAATGAGGTTCTTCGAGCCCTTTTAATTGTTAACAATTTAACGAGGCAACAATTAGCTTACAGTTTAGGGAGTGATTAAATTTAATTACTTACAATTGGAGGCAGTCGCCATTTTCACAGATCCTCATTACTTGAGCTGATGAATGGTGATCAGTAAATGAGACAACAATCAAAAAAGTAATTAAAAGATAACAAGTAAATATATTAATCTTTGACATTTTTGGTGACATTGTTGATTGAATGATTAAGATCGATGGATTTAGATCAGTGGTTAATCACAATTTATATTCAGCTAATTGTTACAATTAAAGTTCACCAAGTACAATTGCTTAATCAACTTCAAAGTTTAAACTGATTTTCGTAATAGATTGATGATCAATTTTCACCCAACAAATGATAATGGTCTTGAATTTAACTGAATTAAATTTGATTCACTGAGTTGCTCATCACAATTAAATTACTCATAAACTGTTCAAATGTAGGTGAGTTTATATTAATCACAATTAACATAAAAAAACGTAATTTTGATTAATAATTTCCCAGGTAAAAAACAAGCAAAACTAAATTAAACATTCACAGTTTTGTTAATCAGATTGTTTGTTGTTAAATTGTGTTGAATTTAAATGAACGTTTAATTTGATTGTTTAACTACTCATTTAATGTTTGACAATTTAATTTGAATGAAATTACAATTTAATTGTGTGACAATCAATAATTTGCTTATGTAATCATACAACTATTAATACCTTACAATTTAAATTACAATTCATTTTGATTCATTTTTAATCTTGTTTATGTTTAAATTGTGTTTACCTTTACAATTATAATTATTTGATTAAATTTCACCGTTGATTGTTTTACTAATATAACAATTATTTACACAATTTAACAAGATTAATTTAGCAAAATTAAATTGCATATTAATCAACTGATTTACAAAATTATTCAACTAATCATTTGATTGTATTTAAATTTACCTGATAACCAATTAACTCTTGGTTACTATTTAATAATAATAACAATCAAAGGGGAAAATGATTGATTCTGGTTAATGTGATTAACAATTTAATCAAAAACTAAATTATGATTAATGTGAAGTTTAACAAAGGGTAAAGGTTGATTACCATCACCTTAATATAGTTTTAAATCACTTGATTCTAATCACGTTCCTTGACAGTTTAATTAACTCATTTTCTGCCAATTACAATCAACGTTTCTTTCACTTGTATTATCATTTGTTAATAATTACAATTAAGACCTTCTCAGAGTGAATGTAACAGACAATCTAATCAACTAATCAAAATTTTAATCTTAAATAAACGTTAATTTATCTAATCAAATTAGTTAAATCGAAAAACTTAACATTGATCAGTTTGAATAACAACAATTTACTAATGACATTGGAAATTATTTCCAAGATCAAGTGGATCGATTTCTATGATTCTGATTGACATGATTAAATTTAGTAAATGAGTTTTGGTCGGAAATTGAATGATAATTAATACATGAGTTAATCGTGGGAACGATCAAATTTGTTTTATCAATGGGGCTGAAATATTAATAGTAGAAATGAATTTGGTGTTTACTGGATGATAATTTAAAGTTGATTGTGGTTAAGTGATTAAGAGTTGAGTTTATGGTTTAAACCAAAATATTAATGATGAGAAAAATAAACAACAGTAAATGGACATGATGATTGATTAGAGTCTCTGGAAATATCAGAAAGACTTGAAGATTATTAGAGGTCAAGGTCTTCATCTTGGTGGATTTGTTGAAATCTATTGGGATTAACATGTAGGTAAGTCTGTTATCCATCTAATTGGTGAAATTTCAAGAGATTCAGAACAGGAAACAATTCACTTGGGAAATTTTCTGATTTTTTTGATTGTAAACAAAAGAAATTAGAAATTTTCATCAGAAAAGAAGATAACTTTGCTTATGTCAATTAACAAATTCATGGGAATTCAGAGATTCTCGGATTACTTTTAGCATCATTAGTAATTGATCAGTTGACTGTTAATCATGTGATTCTTGATTTATCATTGATTGAAAATTCAATATTCTTTTGTGCTCTCCATGAGAAGAGAAGACACCGGAATGGTTTGAAGAAACAGTTTTCATGAAGTCAAATCCATGGCAAATATCCGGACCAGTAACTGATAATTTAGGCCAATCCATTTGCGCTTGCATATCAGTGTCAAAATAGAAAGTGATTAACTTTTATTCCGTTGACAGTGTTGATTAATATAAACAAGAGATTTGTGGGTAATTTCAATTGATCCTCTCATCCAGTAGAACCAAATTAGGTAGCAATTCCAGTAGTTCTTCAATATCTTCATCACGGATTTTCAGATTATTCCTTAAAGCGAGATGTTTTAAATTAGGAAATTTAGACAGGACACATTTCAATGTTTCCCATTTCTGAGCATTTCCTCCTGATCTAAAGAAAGGTGACCACTCCCTTGGATTATCATTTTGCTGTGGATTAAAGTAAAAAAAACAATTAGAAAAGCTGATTAACAGATCATATTCAATATTCCATAAATTCTTAAAGTCTTAAATTCTTGAGTAACTAACATATTCTATGACAAGATCTCTCAAACAATTAATTTTAATTGCTGTATTGAATTGGCAGTAAGTTGATTCAACATGGAAAAAGGCACTTTCCAGATTTGGGCAGAAATCAATGAAACAAAATCCGGGGTAAACAAGAACTCCGGCCATGGACTCGAAATCAAATTCCAATATTTTGAGCTTATGTAACTTGGATCCTTTATAGAGCTTCTGGAAACCTGAAAAGAGAAGGTCATATAACGGGAAATCACAATCGTAAATTGGGAATTGTTACTTAATTACATATGTACTTACAGTTTTGTCTACAATATGAAGTCTACGAAGGTTATAAAACTTAGACGTCACCCCATTCATTTTAACTAAATTAACATTCTGAATGAAAACTTGTTTTAGTTGCCTAGTTATATGTTGATTTACAACGAAAAAATCAACAAGTTCCGTTGATACCATTTCAAGATCGTTGAGAAAGTATATTGGTGATTGATTTTTATCTAAGGTGTGGTTAATTAGCCCTTTAATTGATTTGACTCTTTTGGTTGCATTTTCCCAGTTAGCTAATCCAGTATAAGAAGTATCCAAAATCTAAATGGAGCAAATAAGAAAATAATAACAACTAAACATAAACAAATAAAGAAAATGCAAAAAAAAATTGTTGTTTTCACCTTTAGTCTAGGAAAGAGTTGAGCTAATTCTAGATTTTCCAATTTAGGTGAAGGACCAATGTAAACAATATTATCTGGTGAATCGGTAAATGGATTTTCTGTCAACAATTTAAATACAATTGTACAATATTATGTTAGAAAAATTAGAAAAATAATGGTTTGCCCACATACCGAGTAAATATTCAACTTTGGAACATCGATCTAAAATCAATAATTTCCACTTGGAGCAAACTAAATTAGGATAGAAAAGAATATAATCAAAGTAAAAATTAATCAGTCAATCACATTGTCATATAATCAAAAAGCAAGACTCTCACCAGAAGCACAATGTCTCAGATCATCCAATTGGTCAAGGAAATTGAAGATGACCAGTAAACATTCAGGAGGTAAACAATTAATACTCATTGTTTGTCGAGAAAAGATAAGATCAGAAGTAGTTTTAACCTTTGAAACTAAACAATTAATTAACAGCGAGATAATTAGACTTTAAATTGAATTAGTCACGAAATCAATGAATCACAATTAATTTAAATGTGGAGAAAACGGTTAATTGAAAAGAGAATAGAACAAATTAAATTCGAAATAGAATTTAAGAAATCAGGCGGGATAATTGAATTCGATCTTTTATCTTTTATCTTTTATCGTTCTAATTAACTAATGACCTGATTAATCTTGTATTTCGATTGAATTTCAATTGGAGACTAGATTTATCTTGTTTTAAGATTTAACTCACCGTCGGTTCAATTGACGAAATTATCTCATCAAATCTGAGTAATTCTGATGAATATAAATAAACAGTTGCAGTTAATTAAATTGAAGTTTATCAAGTGTAGTTTTATTTAGTCAGATAATAATCATGAGGAATCGTTTGTTCAGCACAACGTATAATGATTATATAAACTGATGATGTAGAAGAAATAGATATTAGTTAATCTTAATTCGATTCAACAATACGAAAAAATAATTGACAGTTTGAATCGTTTAACATTATTTGTAATTTAAAGTTTAAATCACAAAGCGAACGCTATTAATACCTCATGGGTAAATTGATTAATTAAGATAAAGACATATTAGAAATTGGTAACATATTTGCAGTAGGCAAAGGTAAATCATCTGATTCCATCTTTGGTTCTGACTCAAATTCTGGCTCAGCTTCTGACTTAGTTTCTGGATCTGATGTTGACTCTAACTCAGATTCTGGTTTGGATTCTGGTTCTGGTGTTGGTGTTGATTCAGGTTCTTCCTTAGTCTCTGGTTCTTGGTTTGATTCTTCCTTAGGTTCTGGTTCAATTACGGATTCGACCTTAGACTCTGATTCAGATTCTACCGTAAGTTCTGGCTCAGATTTTACCTTGGATTCAGTTTCCAACTCAGGTTCAAGCTCTGGTTGTGGTTCAGGATCCACCTTAGATTCAGGTTCGGGTTCGGGTTCGGGTTCGGTCTCAGTCACGGTCACGATTTCAGGTTCAGGTTTGAGTTCGGGCTCGGGAGCACTTTCTGGCTCTGATATTGTTTCGGGGATTGTTTCTTGTAAAGTTTCCGATGCTGATTCTTGCTTCAATTCTGGTTCTGGCGTTGGTTCAGATTCTACCATAGGCTCTGGCACTGGCTCTGATACTGGTTCTGGTTCTGATTCTGGTACTGGTACTGGTTCTGGCTCTGGGTTAGATTCAACCTTAGACACCGGTTCAGGCTCGGATTCGACTTTAAGTTCTGGTTCTGGGGTAGATTGTACCTCGGGTTGAAGTTTCAACTCAGATTCTACCTTGGTTTCTACTTTAGGTTCGTGTACGGGTTCGGGCGTAGGCTCAGGATCAAGTTCCACTTTAGGTTCATCTTCTACTACTTTATTTGGTGTTGGTTCTTGATTTGTTTCTTTAATCGATTCAGACGCAGTCTCAGGTTCTGATGCTGGCTTAGATTCTGATTTAAGCTCTGGTACTTCATCTTGAGTTGATTTTGGTTCTGGTTCAGCGCTCGCCGCAGGTTCGGGTTCTGATTCAGTACCTAATTGAGCTTCTGGTCTTTTCTCTAATGCTTCTGTTTCAACGTCGACCTCAGCAACCTCAAGAAAGGAAAATAAAAGGTAAAATTACAATAACTGGAGGTAAAAAAACAATAGTATTGTTTCGATAAGTTGCAACGTGTTTATCATAATAATAATAGTGATAAATAATAGAAAATAGTGACTAAAGTTGAAATAGTCACTGAAGAGTAGAAACTCAACCCAGACAAGAGAGAGCAACTATTTCTGTTCAGTAGTTGTCTTAATTCTGTTTTTTTACTGAAAATGATTAGAAAAAACAGTGTGTACTCTCAAAGATAGAAAAATAATCAGGGGCAAACATGTTTACCTCTGATTTTAAACAAGTTTTATTTAAGAAAATCGCTTCTCCATCTTCTTCTTCTCCTTCTTTTTCCCTCCTCATCAATTTTTACTTTTATTTCAACCATAAGAGAGCAAGAATTGAGGAGAGAGAGAGAGAGATTAACTAAACCAAAACTATTTGGCAGTGTTTCATAAGGTAATGGGCGATTCAAGTTCTTCAAGTGATGATTCAAAACTATTTCAAAGCTCAATAGAAATTAATGATAATGAGAATATTGAGTGAAAAAAGAACATTTTTAACGAGAAATATTTTCCAATTAGCTTATACACTCAAGTCGAGTATTTATACCGTTGACATTGAAAATGAAGAGAGAAGAGAATCTTAAAAGATTTTTATCTGTCTGATGATCAGAAATAAATATCTATCAAGAGGAGAGGAAAATGAGGCTTACTTGATTGGGATTAGCATCTGGTTTGGAATTTCCTTTTCTTCGCAACTTGGTAGCAGCACCCATGATGATTAGCGTTTATATTAATTGAAGTAAAATAGAAGTAACAAAAAAAATCAAAATAATAACGAGATATTCACTGATGAGATACACCAACAAGTGAAGGAATATCTGATTTAAAGACGAACAAAATAAAAAGCGGAAATAGGAGAAAAATCCAGAGAGAACCAGAAAATAACAGTGAGTAACAATTAACAGTTACGATGACAAAATTGATCCTCAATAAAGGCAAAGAGGAAAAGAAAGAGAACAAATGAAACACAAATGATGAATACGAGATGATGATGATGATGATTAGTGAGAACAGTTAATAAACAGGGTAGAAAAGAAAAGAAAAAAATGAGTAAAAATGTGAAGAAAATGACTTGGGCGTGTTATCACTTGTGAAAAGTAAAAGGCCAACAAAATAGTTTGTTCTTTGGAAATAACCGATCAAAACTACCTGATGATGAGATGAAGATGGCGATTTAACAGGGATAAAGACGAACAGAAATAAAAGACAATCAATCAAAGTTGCTAATTAACAGAAAAACAGGGGGACTGAAAGAGAGAAAAAGAGAGACACAATTTAGTTGCAATTAAACAACAATTAAAACGATCAACTAACAATTTAACTGAACATGAGAGAGAGAGAGGGAGAGAGAGACCAAGAGGGAGAGTCTGCATTTGTTTTCTTACCAACAGTAACTATGGAGGTTAACCGACACAGAGAAAGAAAGAGAAACAAAATGTAGACAGAGAAAAGAAAGAAATTTAGTGGTGCCATCTATCGGTTTGCCGATAAGTTCTTTTCAAATGTGTGATCCATTTGTTATCTTGTTTGGAAACGTCAATAAGATAATTAATAAATCAATTGAATTGAAAATTGATTGTTAATATTTCACTTTTTTTTTATTCAAAATAGATTAAATTGTAAAAAGGGAAGGAGGAAAGAGATATATTTGGTCAAATTAAAAGAGAAAATGAATCGATTTTCGACTAAATAAAAAGATGGAGTTACTTGTATTTCTCTTTCTATGTGATTGCACGAATTTTGTTTCATGATTGAGGATAAAAAATGGTAGGCGGGCGGTGATAATTTAATCATTGTACGAATTAAATGAATCAGTTTGTCTGGATGGATTGTCCATGAAGGAGGGGTTAACATCCATTACTAAATATAGTAATAGTTTATATACAAGTATCAATTATCCTCTATTATTGTGATTTCTTTCCAATTCGAGAATACATTCTCTGATTAAAACTTTCGCATGAATCATACCACGTTTAAAACGATCAGTTGAAGTCTTTGAACCAGAATAAATTGGTCGAACATCTCTGGACATTTCTTCTATCACAGCAAGTAATTGATTGTATTTTGAGGTTTGATTACCACCATTTCCATTAATATTATGATTGTTTGTACCAATTGTTTGATAACCAGGATATAAAGGAATATTACTCTGACTAACAACAAGAGTTGGTGGACCACCAGTTAGAAAATTTTGTTGATATTGAGCAGCAAGTACTTGATTCATTTCGCTTGGTACAAAATTAGGATGAATTGGAGGATTATTATTATTATTAGAATTACTATTGGAAGGATTTACATTAAAGTTTAAATTAAATTGATCCATTGATTGCACTTAAAGGTGAAAGAGGAAAAAGCAGAAAGAACAATAATTAACTATAAAAATCGATGAAATAAAAATAAATCTTGAAATTGGAAAGATAAAGAGGTGACAATAAAGACAAAAGATAAACGTCCAAAAATCAATGACCATAAATTCAACAGCTGATAAGACAAAACAATCAATCATTTAGACTAAAGACCAACACCAACACCATCTGTCGATCGATGGATCAACTAAACTAAAGCACATTCGAAGTTTCAACTTGATGAGCGCCAATTTTAATTCTCACAATTATTGTTCTTTTTTTCATACAAAAGTATAAAGGAAAACATGAAAGAATTGAGTTTTTTTTCCTTGTCACGATTTTAGAGATACGATAATGTAAATTTTATTTTCTCTCTCATCTTGATTGATTGAAACACAAATCGATTAATTAATTAGCTATTTACCTTTAAATTGTTGAATTTGTTTGTTTGTTTGAATAAAAATTAAAAGTGAAGAAGAAAAATTTTTTTTTTCAATTAATCGCGTCAAAGTTTTACCTCACATAAAAAGGGGAACAAGGAAATGATAAACTGATGAGCTGCTTGATTTAGCTTCCTGGTCATTAAAAGGTAGAAAACATTTGCTCATCAATTAGCTGATCAATTAAAGTTAATTAACAAACGTTTCTGTTTAATCAACGATGAAAAACAGTTAACCGGATGAAAACATTTGTCTTTTTAAATAATTTAAATTCGACCTGCGCATGCGCACGTTTGCTCTTCGACCAATCAGATCAAAGAGAAACTCAATTCAACTGATTACTTCAAATTTCAACTTCCATTTCCTGAGCAGTTTGAAAGTTGATCATTTAAACGGACTAATAGTTAATTTTAATCTTGTTTCTATTAATTGTTTACCCCAAGTTATTGACGATTAAATTTTAACATTGTCCCAGTTTTATGTGTGTTTCTTAATTGTTTCAATTTCACCACATAACCAATATGAATTATCAACGAGAAGAGTATGACATTGAAGCGGATATTATCTCCATAGGGAGAAACTTGGTGAAGGTGAGTTTCTTTTCATTTTAAAATTGATTCTTAATTAGAGTAATTTTTTTGCCTGGTTAGTTGTTGACTAATTTCTGTTTATTCTCTTACCAATTGAATTGTGTTTCTTTTCTTTGTCTCCTGATTCTTCAAGGTGGTTTCAGTAAAGTTCGGTTAGCTACTCATCTTTTGACTGGTCAAAAAGTGGCTGTTAAGTGTATGGACAAAACTAAACTTGGTGAAGATTTATTTCGTGTGAAAACCGAGATTAATGCTCTTAAAACTCTTGATCATCAGCATATTGCTAAACTGTTACAAGTCATTGAAACAGAACAAATGATTTATCTTGTTTTAGAGGTGAGTTGAATCAGCCATTTATCTTGCTTTTCGATAATTTGAGTATTTAACCGCCATTTATTTTCGTTTATTTTCAGTATTGTAGCGGCGGTGAACTTTTTGATTATATTGTTTCTAAAAATCGATTAAGTGAAAAAGAATCTCAGGAAATTATGGGCTGTCTTGTCCATTGTTTAGCTTATCTTCATTCCAACGGCTTTGCTCATCGTGATCTCAAACCAGAAAATATACTTTTCGACAAAAATCATAAAATCAAACTAATTGATTTTGGATTAGCTGCTCAGTCCAAAGTAAGTTATCCATTTTTTGTAGGATCAATTTTTTTCTAACTATGAACTATCATTGTTATTCAGGATAATCCACAAAATTTACAAAACCTACGAACATGTTGTGGTAGTCCAGCTTATGCAGCTCCTGAACTCATATCAGGTAATATTTATTCTGGACCTGCAGTTGATGTTTGGAGTGCTGGAGTTATACTTTATGCTCTTCTTGTTGGACAACTTCCTTTTGATGATGATAACATGGGAAATCTTTACAAAAAGATTCAGGCTGGCAAGTTTAGTATGCCTAGTTGGTTATCACCCGAGGCCAAAAGTCTCATCCAATCAATGATCCAAGTTGATCCTAAAAGCGGGTCACTGTTAGAGCTTCTCGAAAATCCTTGGATCAAGGCTTATTTGCCCAACCAAAGTGTTGAAGTCCAAAAAAATGTTTTCGACGAAGAGGTTTTATGGCAAGTTCACAAATATTTTCCTACTCTGAGTTACACAGAATTGAGATCAAATATTATTCGTAAATTTGGCTATCAAACAGCAACCTATTGGTTGCTCAAAGAGAAAAAGCGACATGGACTTAAGGTAAACATTATTTTTCTCTTTACATGAAATTTTATTCTAATTAGAATCTAAAATGTAATCTATGTCTTTTTACTTGTTCTATTCAGAGTCCTCTTGCAAATATTCCCAGAAATTTAGCTGTCGCTACTCCTCCTCGAACAACACCAAAGACTGTTACTACTCCAGTTTCTGTTAATACTCCAACTCGTAGAACTCCTAAAGTCATAATTAGAGCCAAAATTGACGAAGTTCAAGCTTTCAAGACGCCTAAACTTTCAACTTTCAAACCTAAAGGGTCAGAAAATCAGAATACACCTCAAAGTCTCAACACTTCTGGTTCTGGTCCAAACACTCCGAACTCCAAGATACCAATCTACCTTAAATCTGGAGAAAGAGGTTCATCTCCCTTAGCCGTTGTCGCTAATACACCTAATTCATCACGAAAACGAAAGCTTTTCGGTGATATTGTTCCTGGTAGTGAGGATAATCAAGCTGCTGATTCAGGTAAATTATCAACAACCATTTCACTCAAGTTAAATTAATCCTTATAACTAATGATCGTTTAAACAATTTCTTAATTTTCAATAGAAAACTATTCCACACCACCAAAACGACCTCCACCCTTACAAACGCCCAAGAAGAGTTTGTTGAAGAAAATCATTGAATCAGCCACTCCAAGTAGAAAACACCCAAGAAACATAACATCTTCTGCTCCGACCACAACTCGAAACATAACGATGACCAAATTCTCTGACCCTCAAATTTGTATTGAGAAACTCATGCAAGCTCTCATTCAAAAAGGAATCGACTGTAAACGTAAAGGGTAAGTGAATAAATCGTCGCATCAACTCTTCGTTTTTTTCGGTAAAATCTAATTTTTTCTCTCCTTATTTTTAGATTCGTTTTGAGTTGTGCCTTGAATAACAAGTATCATTCTATGTGCTCATTTAACTTGGAAATCTGTGTATTCGGTGATAAATGTGCCATCCAACGAAAAAGACTGAAGGGAGATGCTTGGCATTATAAAAGAATCTGTGAAGAAATCCTGAGGATTAGTAACGAAATTTACCAGTGTTAATTGTTTCCTCTTTTTAAAGTCAACAATTAATTTGAATTTGACGCTGGCACTTGCACCATAATGAAGACGTAAAAATTACGGAAATTTTTTTAACTCCTTTTGACTTGATCGACTTTAAATCACAATATGTGTTCAAAAGTAGTGTTTCAACAATACTCTTGATGATATTTATATAATAATTATTGTATTATACTCGAAAAAGCACCGAGAAAAATATGATGAAATCAGAATGGAAATTGTGTATCTTGAAAAACAATTTAATGTATATTTTATATAATAATTATGATAATCATTGTATAAATCTCTATATATCCTCTTAACAAACGTATAAGAAATGTAATCATTTTATAATTAAAACACAAACGATTTTGTGAAATCACTCCCAAGATTGTCGATCATTTATCAATCAGATTAACAATCAATTGAAGGTGCATGATGACCGGTACACTTTTCCCATGGTCCGTCCTTATCATAGGTCATGAAATTGATGAAGTCAACTGTTTTAACTGAATCGAGAATATCGTAACCAGCATCAATGACCCGTTTGAAGTCTCGATTGAATTATCGGAATTTCATTTTCCGACCAAAAGTTTAGTTGCTAATTTTGTGATCGGTGATATAGATAAATCAGATTCAATTCTTAATCCCGCATTCAAAGTCTTGAGCAAAGGCCATTTTGTGGAACAATATCGACCCATGAAATCGTCGAGAGCCCAGACCATCGCACCTCCGATATCGAGGCTCTTGACGAATTCACTTATCTTTCCCATCTGTTCGGTGTCATCATAACCGACCCGTTGGTTACCCTTGAAAGCGAAAGGCAGTCCGGTTGTCGGGTCTCGAGCCTCAGTCCAACCTTGATTCTTTTGGTGGTCGCAGATCTCATAGAAAGGAACACCAAGAATGACCTTTTTCTTGGGCATTCCTTGATCGATCCAGTAATTAACAGTATAGTTAATGTTGAAAATATCATCGTTGGGGTCGAATGATGAAGACTTTTGTCTTGGGTATAAAGGTGCATGGTGATTATTAAACTTTTCGAGCCATGGTCCGTGCATATCATAGGTCATGACATTGATGAAGTCAACGGCTGTAGATATAGCGGGAACATCGTAACCAGCATCAATGACCTGTTTAGAAGGTGAGACAGCAACGCTCAATATCAGTTCTTTTGGTTCGAATGCTTGTCTCAATTCTCGAACGAAAAGAGCGAAATTGGCCTTGTCAGATTCTGGTCCATCTTTACAAATAGTTTGCCAGCACTTTGGGTACTCCCAGTCGAGATCTAATCCATCGAAACCAAATTTGGCCAAAAATTGCATCGAATGGTTAATGAAGTTTCGTCGAGCCGATGGACTGTGCACCAGCCTTGAGTACTTATCACCGGCTGAATCATCCCAACCTCCCAATGAAAGTAAAACCTTCAATCGTGGATTATTTTTCCTTAAACCAGCGACACGTTTCAAGAAACGATTATCAACATCAGCCCATGAATCGTGAATTTTAATAGTCAATGAAGAGGAATCAAGAACAGCGAATCCATAATTGATATGAGTACAATACTTTGAAATAGTGTCTTCGGGGATGAATTTTGCTCCCTGAGGTCTGTACCAAGCCTGTTCGGCGACATAACAGACGATCTTATAATCGTCATTAAAACCTTCCATTCGATCAGGTTCGGCGGTCGTTGTGGGTCCAATGGGTGGATGCCATTCATATGGATTCTCAGTTTCAACATCAATTACATTTGACGTTTGAGTTGTGGTTGAAGTGGAAGTGGAAGTTGGGGCTGAAGTCGAGGGTGAGGTTGACGAGGTTGTTGGAGCAAAGGTGGATGAAGAAGTCGGCGGGTTAGAACTTGAAGTCTCAATTGAATTATCGGGAATTTCATTTTCTCCGACCAAAGGTTTAGTCGCTGTTGTTGTGGTCGATGTTGAACAGTTCGAAGGATCTTGAAAATATCCCTCACTTGATGGACAATTCTGACAGTTAATTGTCCCAAAGAGAAGAGTGAAAGTAACAATTAAACTCGAAAAGGGTAACATGTTAAAGTTATAATTTCGCACAATTTAAACAGTCAAGTATCACTTAAGGTTAATTGTGAATCGTCAACAACTAACATGATTAGACAATTTAGTTTGAAAATTCCGTTTCCTTTTTTATCTAATTGCCCTGAATTGTTTATATCAAGCCAGGTGAAGAGGGAAAAAAAGAAAAACAATTTAAATTATCAAACTGCTTTCCATTTTATTAAATGGAAACCTTTGAATTAATCACGTTCGTTAAACATAAAAAACAAATAGAAATTGAAATTGACAATGTTTGATCATAATTGTAGAAAAGCAGAAGCGGGATATTATCTCCATAAGGAGAAACTTGGTGAAGGTGAGTTTCTTTCTGATTCTTAATTAGAGTAATTGTTTGTCGGATTAGTTGTTGACTAATTTTGTTTATTCTCTTACCAATTGAATTGTGTTTCTTTTCTCTGTCTCCTGATTCTTCAAGGTGGTTTCAGTAAAGTTCGGTTAGCTACTCATCTTTTGACTGGTCAAAAAGTGTATGGACAAAACCAAACTTGGTGAAGATTTCGTATGGAAACCGAGATTAATGCTCTACAATCTGCTCTTGAAAATTACGGAAATTTTTTTAACTCCTTTTGACTTGATCGACTTTAAATCACAATATGTGTTCAAAAGTAGTGTTTCAACAATACTCTTGATGATATTTATATAATAATTATTGTATTATACTCGAAAAAGCACCGAGAAAAATATGATGAAATCAGAATGGAAATTGTGTATCTTGAAAAAACAATTTAATGTATATTTTATATAATAATTATGATAATCATTGTACTGTATAAATCTCTATATATCCCCTCTTAACAAACGTATAAGAAATGTAATCATTTTTATAATTAAAACAAAGACGATTTTTGTGAAATCACTCCCAAGATTTTCGATCATTTATCAATCAGATTAACAATCAATCGCTTCGAAAGATTTAACTCCTCTTAATCCCGCATTCAAAGTCTTGAGCAAAGGCCATTTCGTGGAACAACATCGGCCCATGAAATCGTCGAGATCGAGAGCCCAGACCATCGCACCTCCGATGTCGAGGCTCTTGATGAATTCACTTTTCTTTCTCATCTGTTCGGTGTCATCATAACCGACCCATTGGTTACCCTTGAAAGCGAAAGGCAGTCCGGTTGTCGGATCTCGAGCCTTAGTCCAACCTTGATTCTTTTGGTAGTCGCAGATTTCATAGAAAGCGAGGTAACCCTTTTCTCGGGTAAATGTACCCGGTTCACCTCCTTGAAGAGCAGCAGCACCATAGCCTTTCAATGAATGTGAACCAGCTTGACCTTCGAGGGCGAAAGAGCGACCATAGAAAGGAACACCAAGAATGACCTTTTTCTTGGGCATTCCTTGATCGATCCAGTAATTAACAGTATAGTTAATGTTGAAAATACCATCGTTGGGGTCGAATGATGAAGACTCTTGTCTTGGGTATAAAGGTGCATGATGAGCGGCAAACTTGTCCCATTGTCCGTGCATATCATAGGCCATGACGTTTATGAAGTCAAAGTCTTTAGCTAAAGCGGGAACATCGTAACCAGCATCAATGACCTGTTTAGAAGGTGAGACTGCAGCGGTCAATAGCCATCCTTTTGATTCGTATGCTTGTCTCAATTCATGAACGAAAAGAGCGAAATTGGCCTTGTCAGATTCTGGTCCATCTTTACAAGTAGTTTGCCAGCACTTTGGGTACTCCCAGTCGAGATCTAACCCATCGAAACCAAATTTGGCCAAAAATTGGATCGAATGGTTAATGAAGTTTCGTCGAGCCGATGGATTGTTCACCAACCTCGAGTACTTATCACCGGCTGAATCATTCCAACCTCCCAATGAAAGTAAAACCTTCAATCGTGGATTATTTTTCCTTAAACCAGCGACACGTTTCAAGAAACGATTATCAACATCAGCCCATGAATCGTGAATTTTAATAGTCAATGAAGAGGAATCAAGAACAGCGAATCCATAATTGATATGAGTACAATACTTTGAATTAGTGTCTTCGGGGATGAATTTTGCTCCTTGAGGTCTGTACCAAGCCCAATTGGTGAAATAACAGACGATCTTATAATCGTCATTAAAACCTTCCATTGGATCAGGTTCGGCGGTCGTTGTGGGTCCAATGGGTGGATGCCATTCATATGGATTCTCAGTTTCAACATCAATTACATTTGAAGTTTGAGTTGTGGTTGAAGTTGAAGTGGAAGTGGAAGTTGGGGCTGAAGTCGAGGGTGAGGTTGACGAGGTTGTCGGGGCAAAGGTAGATGATGAAGTCGGCGGGTTAGAACTTGAAGTCTCAATTGAATTATCGGGAATTTCGTTTTCTCCGACCAAAGGTTTAGTCGCTGTTGTTGTGGTCGATGATGGAGATGAATCAGATTCACATTTGGTGTTTTCTTTCCAATCGCAGATTTTCAGGTCAGGATTAAAAACGGAATTAGAACCGCATTCGTATTTGTGAACAATTTTTCCGCTCGAACAGTAGAAAAATTTTGAACAGTTCGAAGGATCTTGAAAATATCCCTCACTTGATGGACAATTCTGACAGTTAATTGTTCCAAATAAAAGAGTGAAAGTAACAATTAAACTCGAAAAGGGTAACATGTTAAAGTTACAATTTCGCACAATTTAAACAGTCAAGTATCACTTAAGGTTAATTGTGAATCGTCAACAACTAACCATTAACTAACATGGTGACTATTGCTTATCCATCATATTTATAATCAATTAATCAACTCCCTTTAATGTTAATTAAGTTTATGATGATCATCATCATGGTGAATAGTTAAGCTCAGCCTAGTTGATTGAAATGCTAATTACCTTCTCAATTAACTTTTCTATTCACAATCAAAGTTGCTTTGTCACGGAGTTTTTTTTGTTGTTTGTTTCCCATTAAGTAATTACAATTAACTTATTCCTTAACAATTAATATTATCAAACATTATTACGATTACCCGCTTATTTACATGAGTTAATTGTTTCCCTGCTAATATAAGTTCAATTGGTAATAATTTAATATTTTCAGGGACATCAATCAACTTTAATCAAAGTCAATGTAATCAAAAATTAGATTATCATCAATTTTAATTATTTATCGAATACTGAAAATTTAAAAATCTCATATGTAAACGCAATTTAAACTAATAAATAATTATATCATAAATTTGTCTTTTATTGTTAACCTAATTGTCAATGTTACCAAGGAATGAGAAAGTTTAATTGTAATTGTTGTTTACAATTAACTGATCATTATCTTAGGTAAACTTAATCATAATGGTGAAAAATTTATTGACAGAATCAACTTGTTAATGAATCTGTCAAATCAAATCTAATAGCGAGATGATATCAATCAAAACGGTTATAAATTGATTTAGTTAAATTAACAGTTAAATTGAATTTAGCTGCTTTTCCCATTAGGTGTGAATTGATTAACAATCAATTGACAATTAATTCATATTGATACGGGTTAACTCCTTTGCTTAGATTTGCTTAAACCTTGATCATTGTGATATTTTCATCATTTGAAATTGAAATTAATTTAGTTAAGTCAATAACTATTAATAACCCGTTCTGAGCATTTGAAAACAATGATTTCTAGGTAGATGATTAGTTAATTACCATAGTATACAAGTCTTATATAATAATAATAATAAAGAAATATGGTAATTATTTAATTGTTATTGACATGAGTTGATTAGTAACAAGATAAGGGCGGAAGTTGGATAATTAAGATTAGCTGATCTATTCAATACAATAGACAATTGAAATATTACAATTAGTTTATTATTATTGAAAGAGTATTAGAAACAATAAGGAAGAGTTTCCAATTTGCAAGTTAATTGTCGTTAATCCTTGAATTAATTACGTGATACTTGGGAAAAAAAAGATAATGGAAATTGATTAATCTCACTTTGATGTTTTTCATCCGAATCAAATTAAACATCAACAATTTGTTATTTTGATGGAAATTTTTCTCAAATCCAAAGTGATTTCAATGAATATTGAATATTCAAGGTTACAATTGATATGGTCACATGAACAATATCTCATTAATTTCATGGTAATAATTAAATGGTCAGCAAATGTCCCACCAAGTGAACAGTCAAAGCTTAACACACTTACAGGTTGATGAGATTTCCAATTCAATGTTTCGGCTTTGTCACCATTTTAATTACATTTCAACCATAATTATCTCGAACCTTGATCCATATTCTGGTGAAAATGAACATCGGTGTGAATAACATTACCCTAGAAATTGCCGACTAATCAAATAACGTAATAAAAATGAGTTGAACCAACTAATTGTGATTCTATCGATTCAACTTAACTGTATCACTTTTGTTGTGTCAATTGTTTATTACATAGTCTACCATAACAATGACTATTAGATGGATAAATGTACAACAGAAAAACATTAAATCAAGAGGAAGAACAAAATAATTAACTAATTTAAGGTCAAGAAAAAGTTAGTTAACTTAATCAATTCAAATTGTGTTTTGATTTCGATTAACTCATGACAACATCGATTAATCGATGTTGAGAAAAACCAAATTCTCAGAAAATTTGGTTTTTTATTGTCTTCGCTTTTTTGTTAAAATGTTTACAAATCTTTTCCGTAATCAATTAATTGTTGCAATTAGTAATTATATTTTGTACTATTTTCCGATTCTATTTTAACTCTTACCTACTGGTCTACCTGTTAGCCTTTTTTTAAATGTCTTTTAATCCTCTAGTATGTCAACCATTTTATTGTTTTCCCTTTTCCCAGATCATTTTTGTTTTCCAATATCTGTCAATACATTAAGTGCTTTGGTATTAATTGTTTGTTAATGAATGTTGTTCAGATCAATAAGGTGAGTAATTAGAGATAAAATGATTCTCTATTATGAGAAGCATCTGTTATTTTATCTGATAACTATTGGAATTGTTAAATTGGTTGTATTGTTTTACTTAACGTTATTGTTTTGTTTTGTTTTTCATCTACGTTTTGTTATTCAGAAAATATTGGCTCATGTTGACCTGTCGTTCATTACAGAAAAGGCGATGGCCTATGTTGATCAAATTAATTCCTTGTTTTCTACTGGTTACTTATGTTGTTCACAAAATGACTCCTAATACTATCAATACTACTACTATTGGTGAAGAGAAATCATCTTCAGATTATGATTACCAACATGATCAAACCTTTTTAAATTCACCTCAAGTCAACTCATTATCACCAAAGGCTTTACGAACCTTAATCAACTCTACAAATAAACATGAGATTATCTTCAATATTGATAAATATGATTCAATAGGAAGTGATGATCCTGTAATTGTTATACAGGTTCATGATCGTGTTGAATATCTTCGAGCTCTGATTAATTCATTGGAATCTGTTGAAGGTATCGACCAAAGCTTGATTATATTCACTCATGACGTTTATAATCCAACTATCAACACAATCATTCAATCAATTAATTTTTGTAAAGTAAGTTTTCCTATTCTTCCTGTGATTTGCTAATTACTTGATATTAACATGGTTAATTTAATTGATTATTTTTATCCAGGTTATTCAACTGTTTTATCCATTTTCCATCCAAGCTTATCCTAATGAGTTTCCCGGAACAGATCCCAAAGATTGTCCTAGAGATATAAATCAACAAAAGTAAGTGATCATTTGAATGCACCATTTAATCAATCAATCAATCATCTCAATTAACTCTATCATTATGGTTATCGATTAGAGCCATGGCCATGAAGTGTCAAAATTCAGAGCATCCTGATACCTATGGACATTACAGAGAAGCTGTTTACACCCAAACGAAACATCATTGGTTTTGGAAGGTAAATATTAGAGTATTTCGATCATTTTTATGTACGATTTGTTTTAATCAACCTTTGATTAAACTCTAATTCCAGATGAATACAATTTTCGACAAATTAAATGCTACAAAGAATCACAATGGACCTTTCATCTTTCTCGAGGAAGATCATTATGTTTCACCAGATTTATTATTCATGTTGAAATCAATGATCGCTTACAAAATCAAGTATGTAACTGTTAAGTAACTTGCAATTAATTCTTACTTACACTAATCTAATTACTTTTGATTGTAGAAATAATCTAGATGTTAACCTTTATACTCTTGGAGCTTATGTAAAGATTTTTAATTATGCTTCCAATGGAAATAAATTGGATATTAATCGATGGGTTTCGAGTCAGCATAATATGGGCTTTGTTTTACTTCGAGATGTTTGGAATCAAATAAGATCATGTTCTAAGCACTTTTGTACATACGATGACTACAATTGGGATTGGTCTTTACAACATATAAGCGAAAAATGTTTGACAAAACCTTTGATGACTTTATCTGTGATCGCTCCTCGGTGAGTCTCTCATCTCACTTTTCAATTGCATCTAATTAATATTCTCTCCTCGTTTCTATCTAAAACAGAGTTTTCCATGTTGGAGAATGCGGAGTTCACCATAAAAAAGTTGACTGCTCAAAGAATAAACTAATTTCCAAAGTACAGCAAACCCTGAAAGCAGCAATTAAATACTTATTCCCTAGTCAATTGATTCTTGCAAAATCAAATAGGAAAAATTTCAAAATGCCCAAAGTAAACGGAGGTTGGGCTGATATTCGAGATCAAATTTTATGTCTCCAACAAGTTGTTCATCCCGAGAAAATGGAACCATTTAAATAAGCCAATATTTGACCAATAACTTTTTCCATCATTCCATAAATTAATTAAGTTCAACAAAAATCATTCTGGTGCCTAAAAGATTCAAGAAAATGGAGAAGCAAAAAAAAACTAGTCCAATCAAATGATTTCCAATCAAATATCCAAAGGTTAACCAAGATCATCTGAACAACCGTACAAAAAGCAATCAACATCCCTCGAAATGTGTGTTTTTTTTTAATCCGAATCATATAAAAAGTTAATTCGATTGAAATGTTGAACTTGCAAAACGAATCAATTTAAATTAATTTTTCGAAATGAAGCAAAAAACATTAGGATTGCCCGGGTTCGAACCGGGGACCTTTTGCGTGTGAAGCAAACGTGATTACCACTACACTACAAACCTATTCATGAGAAACTCTGGTTAAAAAAGCGATAATATTGAACCAAAATTGAAAATTTCAAGATTTTTATATTGACACAAATCTTTTTTTTTCTTTACCAAATGAAAGTTGATTAGCAATTAAAAAATGTAAAGTAAAATAAAGCAACACACAAATATTGCTGAGACGATGAGATTAACCATATGCATAAGAATGAGAACACTTTTGAATTTAAAATATTAGATTTCTAGTGGTGAATTTCCGTCTTCAGGTCATTAGATCTCCGGAGAATAAATTTAAAACATGACGTTCGAGAATTATCTGGACTGGATTAATCAGAGAAAAAGAAAAAAAAAGTTCCAATCAGATTAAATGAACAAGAGTAATTAATCTGTTACTTACCTTGTTTAGATTTTCTCATCACCGCAATGCTAAATGCTGTCTCTAAATTACAATTTTGTATTGTTAAATCAGCTTTGGCCTTCAACAATTCGTGAACACACAAAGTATGATTATTATATGCTGCATACATCAGAGCTGTGTTTCCTTCCTGAATCATCAAATGAAAGCAACAATTAACAATCAATGATTCAATTTGAGGCTCAACAGGTTTTGGGATTGAATTTTTTGTTCCCTCTGTTAGCTAATTGATAACAATGATAATCTATACAAACCTCATCATATTCATTTACGTTGACATCTCTAGCAATTAAATAACGAAGCACATGAACATGTCCATTAGTTGCTGCAAAGGAAAGAGCTGATTCTCCATTTTTACCTCTAACCTTTGGATTAGCACCTCCAGCGATTAACATTTTGACGGTAGTTAATTGTCCATAACCTGCAGCCCAAATCAACGGAGTGAAACCATTTTCATCGACCTGATCAACTCCGCCAGCGTCAAGGTGATGAAGGTAAAGTTCCCCTTGAGCAGCTAATTCAAACACGGTTCTCTCTGGTATTTCACGAATACTTTGGGTCTTAATGTTTCCCCGTTGCAGGTTCGTCAATATAGTTGAAGGCTGAAGGGACATTTTCAAGGAGAAAACAAATGCGAAAAAAAAATAAACAAACAAAACAAAACAAAAAAAGACAAAATTAGTTACAACGTTAACAGAATATCCAACCCATCGCTTATGAATCCAAATGGAAATTAAACTCACCCTGTAAGGAGTAAAAGCACTTCTTCCATCTCTGTTTAATTTAAGAAATTTCATCTGGTAACTATTGTTATTAGTTGATTGCTGTTTCCCACTACGATCTTCCATGATGATCAATCAAAAGACTAAATGAAAAACAAAGTGAACCTTGTCAATCGAGTCGATTACTTTCAAGACAATTCACAGAGTAGATTAAATTATTAACTAATCGATTGATTTATTAGATTCACTTATTCTCCATAAGTAAGGGGATAGTTTCATCAATTAGATTAATGATTAACTAATCCATTGAGTTGAAAGGTTTTACTATTTGGATGTTGATTGTTGAAGCAAAAAAATTGAGAGTCAAATGTTTGTTTACATTTACGAAAAAAAGTAAACATTAGATGGCGCACTTTTGGTTGATAATTTGAGTTCGCAATTCAAATCAGTTGGAATTAATTGTTGCGGATTAATTATGTTCACCAATAGAAAATTTATAGTTTATATGCTAAAGGTTTATTCTTGAAATATGGTTACAAATTTTGGCAAAGGGAAAATTTAACAATATCTCATCTAGAAAGATTATTTCATCGGGAATTTTGTTTGCTGATTATTTTGAAATCGTAACAAAATATTGTTATTATTAATATTATTGTATTGTTATTCTGATGAGAGAGAGAGAAAGAGGAAAATTTTGACTGTTAAGTTGTTCAGGACCGAAAAGTGATGATCACAGTGAGAAAATTATTCCATTTTTTTGATTGGAACTTTTGTTTTTGCATTAGAAAATCAAAAAAGAAAAAGAAATTGATTTGGATTTAATTAAGGGCACAGTTTGTTTTTCATCACTTAATATATTCATCTGTTTGATAGATTTAATATCTTTTGTCTCAATAAGATGAACAATTAATGTCTTTCAACAATTCACTCTTTCAGGTGGAGGGAAGATCATTTTTCCGAATTCAATGAATCTCCTTGTCTCTGGATACATTAGGAAGACAGGCTAGCGAAAAAAAAACTTAAATCGATTCGATTCTCGATTTGTTTGTTTATCAACAGCTCGTGTAGACTTGAATGTAGAGCAAAAGTGAAGGTTCCAATGGTGAAAATTGATTGTATCACTGTAAATGTGGAACTTGTAATCAATTAAGATTAAGAGAGAAGGAAAAAATCCAGAGAATTGAGAAAAATTTAGTAAGCGTAGAGAGTAGAGATGAAAATCGAAACCATTTTAAGGATGAGCACTGATTCACTATTAAGTTTTTCGAGTGATTGGTGATGTTGATGTTATTAAGATAATAAATCGATTACAATCAAAATAAAGTCCAATAAATAGTGTAAAAGGGCTGTGAATAGAGTCTCTTTTTCATTATCACTTTCATCATCAGGATCTTCTCCATCTTTACCCGGTTTCCTTGATTCCTCACTAAATGCACCTTCTTCAATCAACTGGATTAATCGATAAATCTCAGCCTTATCTTTTAGATCAACTGAACCATTCTCATGGGCACTTATGTCTTCCTCTTCGGTGTAACTCACAATATCCAATTGATAAACTGAATAATCAAAAGACGGATGACCATAAACACCGATAGTAAATTCGGGACTAAAATTGTCAGGAATATCGACAATATCAATACCACATGAGACACTTTGTAATTGGTGAGTTTCCAATTCAGTGGTAGGTTTTACTCGGTCCTTTGCTATATAGAGATCAGCATCACCTTTTAAAGTTGTTAAAATTACTCTTAATCTATTAGTTGATTTATAAACATAATAACTGTAATTTGAGGCATAAACAAGATCTTTACCAGAGACAATCTGGTAACCATTACAAATAGACGACCAGTATGCTAGAGTAATGATCAGTGAGAAAAGAAGCATTTCAATGTAAATTTCAAAGAAGAGGAAAGGAAAGAACAAAATGAAAATATAATAATAATCAAATCAAGAGTAGTAATTAAAAAAATCCAAGACAAAAACAGTTGATGAAAACCGAAGGAGAAAAAAATTTAGAAAATGAAACAACTAAAGCGACCATAGAAGCGTAAATATAACCAAAGACAGGGAAAGAATTCACAATACTCGAGAATTATGGTAACAATTAGCAGAGATTTAGATGATGAGACATGTGATGATAAACAAAATAACGATAATTAAAGGAAAGATTATCTAATTGATTCATCTTAAAGTTGTTGTTCCAAAATTGTAACAAGAAAAATTGTAGAGAAAAAATTCTGCTCGAAAAATAGCTCCATATGTTGTTCGCTATTCTCACCGCAAAGGCATGAGAGTTAATCTTTCCTTTCATTTACTGTTTACATTTAATTCAATTCAATTAGCTAATTATTGTCTATTTATTTTCCTTTATTTTTCTTGTTTAAATTGTAACTTTTTTTTGCAAAGATTAACATGATTATCTCTCTTTATAACAGGTCGATACCTTTTGTTTCCAACAGAATAAAATTCATCTTTAATTCATCTACTAGAAACTATTCTTGGTTCACAGCGAAATCTGATTCCTCAAGAGCAAAAAACCTTAAGGTTCAGGTTGTTTAGTAAGTAATCAATTTAATTGTTTCCAATCTCAATGTATTCTTGACTTTTTGGTGATTAACACTTGTTACCTTTTCTCTGTCTATATTTGTTATTGTTACTGTTCAGTGTTCCTGAGATATTACCTGATGGACCTGCTGATAATCCGGCATTAGTTATGCCAAAAGGTGAACAACAAATGATCCAATTTAATGACATAACTCCAATTTTATCTTTACGTGCATTTCTTAAAAATGTCACTCAATTTGACGCAATTTTGGAAGAATTAATCTCAGGTATTTCATTTAGCTATTCTATTCCATAAGTGGTAATCAATTGTTTCTTGTTGACTTTCATTTTCTTCATCAGTATGATTTCAGGTTTTCTTTCAATATCCATTGTATGTATTGTAATGATGTTTTGATTAATTCTTTCTTATTTATCTTTTAGGTGCTGATAGATTTTCATCTCGACAAATCATGGAAAAAATTGATTTTGCTCTTGTACCAATGAGATACAACCTTAGCCTTGCTCATGTTTTGACTCATGCTTATCCAAACGATTACAAATATGGAGTCTTGGATGATATGTATCACTCGTATTTGAAGCATGAAGTTAATCGTTTTAATCCATTAACTTATCATACAGCTTGTGAAATAATAGAATCAACAAAAGGTACAAATAGTTTTGATGAATTACGTCAACTTGGTCAGTTTTACCGGTCGATGGGAAAACTTTACGGCTTCCATTTAGATCTTTCATCTCAAGAAGTTGTGAATGAACATTACATGAGTATTCAAAAACATGTCAGCACTTTTATTTCCAATGTGAATAATTGTATCAACAAGGAAGCTGTTCTGATAACCGATGAAAACATAATCAAAGCCTTACCTGAAAGTTTCGTTACTAAAGTGTACAATAAAACGGGGATCAAGCTACCATTGCATCCAACGGCGTACGAAATTTTCATGACCTTTTGTCCAGATAAATCAACCAGACGAAAAGTTTGGGTTGCTTACAATTCTAAGCCCCAGCAACGAGATTCGGTAAACAACTCGGTGGAATTTGAAAAAGCAAGAGATCACCGACATAAATTGGCCAACGTATTGGGCTACGTTAATCACGCTGAAATGGTGATCTCTCGTAAAATGGCTGGATCAGTGGAAGTGGTTAGCAAGATGTTAAACTCAATCAATGAAAGAATTAGTGAAAAATATAATCAAGACTTAGAAGACATTAACGCTGAAAAGGGGAGAAAAATGATCGGCCAATTGGATCTATGGGATCTGCCATACCTCAAGAGAATATCGATAAACAGAAGGTTTGGTTCTAAAATCGATGTATCCCGTTACTTCCCATTGGACAAAGTGATTTCTGGGACGTTTCAATTAGTTGAAAATATGTTCGACATTAAAATCGAGCAAGTTGATTCAAACAAATGTCAAGTTTGGAGTCCACACGTGAAATTTTACCGTCTCGTTGATAGTAACTCAAAAATTCTGGGCCACTTTTACTTTGATCCTTATTGTCAACGAGCCGACCGTTATGGATCTAATATTATCGAGTTAACCAATAGAACGAAAACTTTTGAAACTACTCCATTGGTCGTAGCATTTTTATCGAAAAAACTTCCTATTACAAAAGAACAACAAATTCTTTTGTCTTATCCAGAATATTTAAGTTTTCTATCCATGGTTAGTACTTTCATCTTCCCTGTGAAACCAATGATTTTATACTAATTGCTTTCTTCTCACATGACAGATTGGTCGTATTCTAACAATAATAACGTCACAACACAATTACTTCGAACTGTCCACAATTTACAACCTGCCCAAAGACCGATTAGATTCACTTGGACACGCGTTACTATTGTATGGACTTCACAATCTAAAAGCGGTGCAACTTTGTAGTGCCAATATAACAAATGGTGAACCTTTACCTGAGCAAACTCATAATCTTCTCAAAGAATGTAAGACGCAAAGATTATTAATTTTGGCCTATTAGTCTTTCTAACGATTATTTTCTGTTTTGTTTTCAGATATTTTATCTTTCGAGAGTATTGGATTAACCAATGATATCTTCTTGTCGGCTTTTGATATTGCCTTGTACACTAACACTGAATTCTGGAGAGAGATATTACCGGAAGTATGGCGGAAATACATGACGAAGTTTGAACTACCCAAGGAATATGCTTACCCTTTGTCTTTTAATGAAATCGTTTCAAATGATGGTGCTGCCGGTTATTACTCGAAAATTTGGTCTCAGGTCAGTGGAATTGAGAAATTATTTCACCGTTATTTTAGTTATTTGATTGATTGATTTCGTAATTTTAATCTCAACTTTTTGATATTTTCCATTTAGATGATCGCTTCTGACATTTGTGCGGCTTTCTTGGAGGGTGAAGCCAATGGCGGACTAAAGGAAGTGGGCAAACATTTAAGAAACACTATTCTCTCAACCAATTCATCTCTTTTAAGTGCTGAACTATTCCGTGAATTTCGTGGTCGCGATCCATCATTAGCACCACTTATAGAATTACATGATTTAACAGCAAAAGCCCGAATCACACAATCATAAAACTGACTAGTCTTCATGGAAACAAAATTAATAGATTGTGAATTAATCAGTTCATCAGCTAATTTAAAATGAATGAAACTTTTTCTTTGTACAAAATTTAACAATAACAAAAATCTGATTATCTAATTAACAGACACTGATTATAGTTTGTTAAATTTTATTTGTAAAACTTTGGCTAATCTATTAGTATATTAATGTGTATTATGTATGTTATTTTTAACTTCAAATCAAGAAACATGATTAATGTTGATTAAAGATCAGTGGTCAAATTTGTAAATGTGAAATTGCTCATCTCTTGATTTAAAACATCAGACCACAATTATCCTTTCAACCAAAATTAACCACAGTTAAAAATGGTAAATTATCTTACCCTAAATTGTGATAGTGAGATGAAGATTCAATTTAATTGCAATCGACCGATTGAATATTAATCAGTGATAACAGTAACCACCCTTTCTTATCCCTAGTTGATCCTCATCATTTGTTTTCTGAATTGATTCAGTTCATCATGATGATATTCAAATCAGAAAATTGTATCTAATCAGATAGCTGAAAGAATTAACTATTTCATTCCTTTTGTTTCATAATAATTAAGGTATTTAATCATCGACTAATGATAGAATATCTTGATTTAAAGGTATTTTAGTAAATTGTTAATAAATCTGATTAAATATTATCAATCGATTGTTTTTAATAAGCGAGCATTCCAAATAAAATAGACTTGTACAATTAACTCAGAAGCAAATATAAGCTAATTCTTTGACAAGTTAATTGTATTTCTCTGTATAACAATCAACAACAATTTATTCTAATAATGATTAACTTTCCAACCATTTTATTTGTTGTTTTACTTTCATCAACTTGTAAGTGTTTCGAATCACAATCATCATTACTTTTCAATACTAAAAATGTGTTGATAAAATATCGTTGCGACGATTGTGTTGGTGATCTTACTTCAATTCAAAATGATATCGACACGGCGCGATCAGAGCATATTCCCATGTTACGACGTGGCTGTAACAAATATACAACACCGAGTGGGGTTTGCAACAATTATATTGACTCCATTGTTAAGATTTATGACGATCTAGAGGCCAAAATGAAACCACGAAGTACTTGTACTAACACCTTTCATGCTTGTCCACAACCGAAGACCAGTAAACTTGATATTCAGCAATCAAAAGTCAATGAGTTTAATAAAGTAAATCTCACTCGCCCATCGCCCCAAATGGCTCTGAATAACACACCATCAGTGTTTCTATCTGATAAATGTGATAATTGCAGTGATTCAATGGATCGGGTCGCACTTAAGGTCAAAAGATATGCAACCTCGCTAAAGAAAACTTTAAAATATACTTGTCGTGATTACACTCACAATTATTTATTATGTCAAAAGTATATGAGAGATCTATTTGATTCCGATATTACTGAATTGATTTCGAAAACAAGTTCAGACTATTTCTGTAAAACAATCTTTGGACTATGTCCCTAAGAGATCGAGCTGCTCGAGAAAAAAACTAATGGAAATTTTGTCAGCTCTAATGAAAATTGAATAAATTTATTATTAATAATTGAACTTTCAAAGCATCTTTTGACTGTATTTACCTTTATTTGATACTCGATTATTGAAATTATTATTGAAATGGTTGATTGGATTAATCAACTAATCGAGCAAGTTGATCCAGTGTCAATAAAGTTTACGTGAAAAATTTACCGTCTTGTTGATAGTAACTCAAAAATTCTGGGCCACTTTTACTTTGATCCTTATTGTCAACGAGCCGATCGTTATGGATCTAATATTATCGAGTTAACCAATAGAACGAAAACTTTTGAAACTACTCCATTGATCGTAGAATTTTCATCGAAAAAACTTCCTATTACAAAAGAACAACAAATTCTTTTGTCTTGTCCAGAATATTTAAGTTTTCTATCCATGGTGAGTATTTTCATCTTCCCTTTGAAATCAAAATTCAGCAATAACAAAAATCTAATTAATGTATTGGGTTTATTTTAATAGAGATGATTGATTTTGATTAAAAGTCAGTGGTCAAAATTGCGAATGTATCATTGTTCATCCCGTGATTTAGTACACAAACCTACATCAACCCTTTCGTCGTTACTTCATTAACTTTCTTGATTAACAATCAACATAAAAATTGACCCAATATCCTTGAATATTGAAACGTTTATCACAGATAAAAGGCTTTTCGTAATTGCAATCGACCAATTGAATATTGATTATGATTAAGGAGGAAATTGTAAAAGAGAGAAGAATACAGTCTTTTTCCTATGAATTCACCTTTTTTCTCTTTTGAGATAAACTAATTTACAAAAGAAAAAACCTTAATCCGATTCGAGAATTAGAACTAATCTCTTTATTTTCAATACAATTCATTTTTTCTCATTAGAATTGACCTTGTTTTCATTAGAATTAATTATTGATATGTTTTTTACCAATACAATCAGGGATATATTTTTTCATGTGATTGTAGTAATTTTTACAATCTTCCGATGTGATCATCTCTGAGGCCAATTCAACACCTTCGAAAACTTGTTCAGCATTAGCAGGTCGATATTTTTTCACGTAGAATTTTAATTGATTGAATAAATTTTCAATCGGGTTCAAAAATGGTGAATACAGTCTTTTTCCTTCGGATTCACCTTCTTTCTCTTTAGAGTTAAACTATTTTACAGAAGAAAAAAACTTAATCTGGTCAGAGAATCAGAGTTAATCTCTTTATTTTCAAAACAATTCATTTTTTCTCATTATAATTAAACTTTTTTTCATTCGAATTAATTATCAATATGTTTTTACTAATACAATCAGGAATATATCTCTTCATGTGATTGTACTGATTTTCACTATCTTTCGATATAATCATTTCTGAAGCGAATTCTACAACTTCGATAATTTTCTTCAAAACCTTCGATGATTAATTTTCTTTCTGGTGTTTTGATAAACAATTAGAATTGAAAATTATCTACAACTTATGAGATTGAATTGGTACAGATCAATTCCTTTGAAAAAAATTTATTTAATTAATTTATTTAGAAAGAGAAAAGGGTCAATTCTAGTGAGAAAAACAGAGATTAAACCTCTTCAGCCCTGAAGACAAATTAATTCTAATGAAAAATGGTTTATTTATAAAGAGAAAGAAGGTGAATTCGGAGGAAAAAGATAAGGAGGAAGGAAGAGAAGTCGATGTCCAGCAGAATTGATTTCATTCTTAATTATATCACAATGATGAAATCTAACGTTGTCCATTATTAAATTTGCTTTTTCAATTTTTTTCGATTTCAGATGAGCGATAAACTCTTTCATGTAGTCCAAGAAATCGACTGAGTTATATGATGTCGGTTTAACTTCATAAAATTCTAATCCTTTGATACTCATTGCAGCACATACTGAGTAATTCTTGCCTTTTATCGCTTTAACAGGTAGATTAGCACGTGTACCTTTTTTAGATCGACCATAATTCACCTTGATATGAATTCCAATACCGGCTTCATCGATGAAGAAAATTTTATCTCTTGATGTTGAATCGAGTTCAAAAAATTCTATCGCATAAGAATATCTTTTCATGATGGTTTCATCATTATTTCGACGAACAGGAACTGGTGTTAATCTTTTGAAACTGTAGTGAATTTCATTCAAATAACGATGAACAGTTGGGACACTAATTTCAATTTGAAACTTTTCGTGAATGAAATCTTTTATGTCATCGAGAGTTCGAGTACAATCTTCATCAACGTATTCACGAACTTTTTCGATTTGTTGTTGATTTAGTTTCTTGTGTTTTTTTCCTCTTGGTCTTATCACATCACCGAATTCGTTGAATCGTTTGATTATTGATTTAATTGTATTTTCATTCACGTTGTATGTTTCTGCTAAATAAGAAACTCGATAGCTTTTTTTATAACCTTCGATTATCAATTTTCGTATTGATTCACTCACCATATTATAATTTCTACTCGACATTTTGATAAACAATTATAATTACAAATTAACATTAACTGATGAGATTGAATTGTACTGATCAATTGTTTTGAAAACAAGTTTATTTATAAAGAGAAAAAGGTCAATTCTAGTGAGAAGAATAGAGATTAAATCTCTTTCGCCCCGAAGGAAAATTAATTCTAATGAAAAAAAGTTTATCTCTTAAGAGAATGAAGGTGAATTCGGAGGAAAAAGACTGTATGATCATTTCTTTACAATCTTATCAACAGTATTTCAATTTACGACGATTTAATTCAGTTTTTCTAGTTCTTATCACAATTTAAGTTAAGATAATTTAATTTGCCTTTTTTGTCTGAAATCAACCGAACGCCGTTTTAATTATTTGCAAATACAACGACAAGTTAAATATCAACACTGATCAAAATTGATTTGACAATTAAGTGAAACTCTAATTTCAGTGGTTATTGATTATTTGTCATCTACTAATTCAGAAAATTCCTTTCTAAACTAATACAATTGAATCTAATAATGGGATTAAATTGATTACCTTTCTTAGGGACAGATGAAAACATTTCAGTTCATTTCAGAACAATCAGATTAACATAAACTCAATAACAATCAAATTGTCATTCGAGGAAATATGATTAGAATTGAATCAATAAATACCTTGGTTAATTAGTCCTGGTAATTGTATTGTTTAATATTTGTTAATCAATGATAAAAGGAACAACCTTTTTGCAAATTGGAATGTTTGACAAAATCAGATAGTGATTAGATTAACTAATTATAGTTTCATTCCCTTTGTTATGTTTCAATGAAAGTGTTTTTCTAATTGTTGATTATCAGATTCGATGATTGATTGAGAATTTAAACAAATTGTTTGTAAATATCTCTTAGAAATGTTGATTGTTATCAAGAATCCAAACCGACTTATAAATACATTTAGTAACAATTTACTTCCAATCAAAAATAAGCCAATGCTTAGACCACAAACAAGTTAATTGTATTTCTCGGTGTAATAAAACAACAATTTATTCAAATAATGATTAACTTTCCAACCATTTTATTTGTTGTTTTACTTTCATCAACTTGTAAGTGTTTCGAATCACAATCACCATTACTTTTCAATACTAAAACTGATCTTTGCGACGATTGTGTTGCTGCCGTTTCTTCAATACGAGAGAGCGCTCTTGGAGCTCAATCAGATCATATTCCCAAGTTACGAAGTGCCTGTGATCAGTACACGACACCAGGAGGTGTTTGCACTCATTACATTGACTCCGTTAATAATATTTACAACGATATAATTGGTGGTATTGGTTTCCCACGAAATACCTGTAAGAACTTCCGTGCTTGTCCACTACCGGTGACCAGTAAACTTAACGTTGTAAGATCAACAATTAATAAAGACGAACCGGATTGTTTCTTATGTAAACAAGTGCTAAAACTTGTATACAAAGTGATCGAGAATCAGCCTAATGCTGATATCAAATCTGCTCTGGACAAAGTTTGCGATACCAAGTTACCTAAATCGAATCGTAAAATTTGTTACAAGTACGTTGACACTTATACCAGCTACTTGACCGAGTTGATCCAAACCAACACTAGTGTCGATGTGGCCTGTCACAAAATCGGTGTGTGTGAACACGAGGAAAATCTGACCAGTCGGCCGACTCAACTGAACCTGACTGACCCTACAATTTTGTCGTCCGTCGACTGTGACAGTTGTAAGAAATCAGTGGCCGGAGTCTCTGATATGGTCAAAAGCTACGCAACCTCGTTAAGTGAAACTTTGAAAAATACTTGTTCTAAATATCAAAGTTATTTATTCTGTATCAGGTTTATGAGAAATCTATTTGATTCTGATATTTCTGAATTAATTTCCAAAACAAGTTCAGATTATTTGTGTACAAAAATCTTCGGGCTATGTGACCTTTAACGAAGAGATCGTATGAGAAACTTTCATTTTGAATAAACCAAAGTTCTAACAATTTAAAGCATCTAAGTATATTTATTAATAAGGTATGAGTGGTAAAGTTTGGCAGTAAGTTTTTCTAATCAAAATTAAGACAATTAGACTAGACACATTGGCGCCTTAATTAGGTTTAATTTAACGGAAATTTAGTGGGCATTTTTTTGATACTAAAATAAAAATTAGTTGACATTCCGTTCATGTCAAAAATGGTTCTTAATCTAAGTGATCGTCGTGTTCTTATCGTTAACTTTGTCAGTGAACATCCAGAATTGTCTTTATATGAATGTGCCAATAGATTGAAAAGTTTTAATATACCATCGAGGTCAGTCTACAGGGTTGGGGCAAAGGTCAGAAATGGAGAAAATATAACTAATTACTCTAATTGTGGCCGAAAACCGACAAAAATGACGGCGCGAAAATTGAAACAATTTAAAAAATTAGCCGATGGTTGGACTGGCTCTCAGCGAGAATTGGCCGCTAAATTTAATATCTGTGACAGATACTGTCGGGAATTATTAGAAAAATTTAAAATCAAGGCCTGGAAACGACGGGATAGCCCGAAATCTACCCCTGAACAATTCGCCCGCCAGATGGCGCGTTTAAAAATAATGACGAACGAATTGGTTCCCGTTAATGGCCTAATTGACATCATAGAGGATGATGAAAGTTACTTTTCCTTATCAGGGAAAGGTAATAAGTATTTTTTGGCAAGTTCGCCAGAAAATTTGCCGATAGAAAAAAAAACTAAACCAAGGGCCAAGTTCGAAGCTCGGTTATGCGTTTGGATCGCAATATCGAAAAAAGGTCACTCTGATCCATTTTTTGTTCCCGCTAATTGTGCTGTAAATTCAGAAATTTACAGAAATCAATGTATAGAAAAAAGATTAGTGCCCTTTATTACCAAAATCATCGGTATTTATTCTGGCCAGATGGCGCTTCTTGCCATTATCATAGAGAAACAATTAAAACTCTCGAAAAATTCGAGGTAGAATTTGTTAAAAAAATCAGAACCCACCTAATGTTCCTCAGCTAAGGTGCATCGAGAAATTTTGGGCTCATTTGAAACAAAAAGTCTATCAGAATAATTGGTGTACCACTAGTTTCGAAGCTCTCAAAAAAAGAAGCAAATTAAAATTAACCGAATTTGACCTCGAATATTTCGAAAGACTTTTCGAAAATGAAAACAAAAATTGCCCAAGCCTCTGTAGAAGGTCCACTTTCCGTAATTTTCAACAATTAAAAATAATTTATTAATTGTATTGTTCTTATTGTTAATTATTCAATTACTGCCAAACTTTACCACTCATACCTTATTTACCAAAAGAAATAATTTCTATGATTACAATTAATCATTGATTTAAAATATGTATTGATAAATTTGTAGATACCGAAGTGAGTGAACATTAGCTAGCTAATAGCCACTTCATTTGAAAGTGGCTATAGCCAGCAGGCAAAGTAGCTTAGCCAGATTATAGTGGTTAAGATTTTAAGTAATTAAGCGGTTTAAAAGATTTAAAAAACTCAATTCAAATGTTTGTTTTTCTTATTATTGAGAAGAAAATTTTTGGATATAAAAAGCCATTCAAATCAAAATTCAAATTCACTTTTTTTCTCAACGCTAAACAAGTAAATAGTTCAATATGCTTGTTCAACAAATATTACCATGGCTGAAAGAGTAAGTATCAACAAGCTATTCCATGTACCAATTTATGCTTAATTACATATGTTTTTTTCTTTCTTTTACCAGGTATCAACCAATAGCATTGAATGGCCAGTTGAGACGTTGGCATATGTGAAAATTAATGGCGAACCTCATCATCACCTTAGAGCTGAATGGTATGGGAAATGCGATAGTGTGACAACTTATGGTAGTGATGATGATACGCATGAGATTCCAATTGTGCCAAGAGACCCTAATATTTTTACAATAAATGAACTGAAGCAGAAAACTCTCGCGTTGAGAAGAAAAAAAAGAGGAATTAAGACATTTGCCTGTCCTGCCTGTCGTAAACCATTCGTAAACCTCTGGAGCTCTTATGTATCCATCAATACCCTTCTAAGTGAATCTGGCCGGTACGAATTGATTTTATCGTATAAAGACTTGGCTTTACTGCAAAAAATAAACAAATTTTTGTCTGTCTTCAAGAAAGCGGTTGATCTTCTCGCTACTGCTAAGGAACCTACTATAAATAAAGCTTTGGTTCAAAGATTGGAGCTAGAATACATCTTGAATGACAGAAAAGATGATTGTCCTGAGTTGAGTGAATTGAAAGAATTCATGCTCTTAAAACTCGATAAAAGATATCCTATCACTGAGCTGCTGATCATTGCATCCCTCATCGATCCTAAATTTAAAGATTTAGACATCATAGATAAGTTTTGTGATGAAAACTTCACATCGAAGCAACAATTAATCAAAAATTATTATAATAAAATGATTGGAACTATCGACTCACAAAGTGTTGTCGATGAAGCACCTGGTGTTTTCACTCAACTTGCTCGTAAGTTTTCTACGAAACCACAACATCAAACAAGCTTTTATTTAGAAATTGAATCCTATTTCGCAGCGAAGGATGACAAAAACAAAAATGTTTTATCATATTGGTTCGAACGTAGAGCAGCTTGGCCACAACTTTATGAGCTTTCAAACGCTATTTTATGCATTCCCGCAACTAGCGTTCCTGTTGAGAGATTGTTCTCAATAGCAGGTTTGACTTTAACCAAAAAAAGATGTCAACTCGACCCCAGAAAGGTAAATAAAATTTTGTTTGTGCACGAAAATTATGATCTTTTTTATCCATCTTCATAGCCACATAGCTAATCGGCTAATAGCTAGCTAAGGTTAGCTAATGGTTGCAAATTTGTGCTTTTAGCCGGCTAATAGAATCTTCACTCACTTCGGTATCTATAAATTTGTAAAAAAGAGAAGAAGCTGTAAAGTACCTGAAGTACCTGTTCTAAGACTTTGTGATTAAATTAACAACTGTAATAAACCAACCATAAACCATAATAAAAACTAACAGTG